TAAAGGAGTTCCAGAGATTAATTTTCCTTTTTAGGTCCATCACTGAACAAGATCTGCTGTGACCTGTGCAACCGCTCCCTGCCTTACATTCCCAGAAATAGGGGACTGGTCCCAGGAAGCCAGTGATATCCAACTAAATTATTTTCATTAATTTCTTTAGTCAGGCCTTAGTAATCTAAGGCAGGAGGACAAACTGGCTGCCTGCTGACCACATTTGGCTTGTAGGACAACTCCAGCTGGGCTACTGCTTTTCCCTGCACTGACAGACAACTCTCCTTTGCTTTGCTTGCAGGGAGTCAGGGGGTTTGGCCCACAAGTCCTTCTTGTTTCTCTGCTCCTCCTGACCTTCATGAAAGGGTCCCACTGAAGTAATGAGAGAGCTCTTTTCCATGCCCCTGAAGTCAATAAAAATAATTCCTACTGAGTCATGACCCCAGTTTAACTATGTTCATGTCCTTGAGACCTGGGGAGCTGTATGTGCTTTGGAGCGATGGCCTGCACAGGGCCTGATTCATGCTCTTGGCTTCATATGTTTTCGTAGAAGAAGAAAAGGGCATTAGTGATGCACGAATGATCGAGCACCCCTGCAGCTATACTCTGTACTTACTGAGCAAGCACAGCACAGGCAGCAACTGGGAATTCAAAAGTAGGAGTGTGGACTGGAAAGCAAAACCAAACATCTGCACCCTCACCAGTGAAACGTGGAAAAGCTATGAGAGTATCACAAATATTTATCACATGGCTAACGAGGTCCTCCAGAAAATTCTGGCACAGTTCTTAGCAAAGATGAAAGCATCTTCAAAGTAAAGCTATTGTCAGCCTCAGATGCGACATTATGTTTAAACTGTAAAGATGTTTCTAAATGTCATGGACTAAATAGAAGCAGGCCAACAAGTTGGTAAACACAGCTGCATCTTTCGTTTAAAACCCAGAGTAGTCCTTAAGGAGAAGTGGAGTTGAGTCAACAGAGCCATAGGAGACTGAATGGACTCCTGCAGTGAGAGGTGCAGAAAACAGGGACTTGACCACATTTTGATGGGCACTTTTAGCTACTCTTAGTACTAGACTTGTTGGCTGCCCATCATCTTCAGGCACAAGCGGTGGTGTGCTCCAGGGCACAGGATGAGGCTGTTCAGGGTCAGGCAGGGAGGCTGGGAGAAGGTGGCTCAGCTAAGACGGACTTCTCCCGTCCTCCTCCAGCCCTGAGGCCTCAGTGGGCAGCAAGGGGGGGCAGATCAGGGAGCACTCCTAAGGCCTCTCTGAAGAAGGGATTTGGAAAAGGATGAGCCTGGTAGTACACAGATATATAATAGAAAATGTTTTCATTAAAGATAATAACCCCCTTATTTTTGCCTACCTCATCTCTCTGGATCATAAACTTCTTGTTATGTGACTATTCAGCCCTTAGGACAGAAGCAGTCACATCTCCATTGGACATACCTTGACACATTAGTAAGAGAAGTAAAACCAATAAATCAATAGGAGTCTCTCCACTGACTTCAGAGATCACTGGATTGCACTTTCTCTGTCAATACTGGTTAGGGATCTTTGCTGCTCAGACATTCACGGCTGCTGCCATTGAAACGAATTGGCTGCAACATCACCACAGAATGTGCACATTGCTCTGCATCTTACTATGAAATAATTGCCTGATAGCTTTACAGAGATCTCCCTCAGGGAAGAAAATGATAAAGAGATGTTAAGTCACAGCAATATTCCCCTGCTGTTCTTTGATACTGCCCAGCTAACTCGTGTCAGAGATGGAAGTAAATGCAGGAAGAAGCGGAGTCAACAGAAAAGTTTCAAGTGGAATTTGCAATCACTAAATGCAGAAACTGGCTGCAAATTTCTCTCTACCTCAGGTTTTGTGCTTAATTTACATGTGTGTTAAGTCAGCATAATGAAAATAAGAAAATACTTGCTCTGAATGCTCACAGAATCTCAGAGGAACTCATGAATTCATGGAGAGGACTGTGGAGGGAGTGACAGTGGAAGGATTTGAGTACTATGCAGGAAGAGAGAAAGGGAAGGACTGAAATAAAATGTGGATGAGGAAAATCAGATCACCATGACAAATGAGGTCTGAAAGAGTTTCTGAGTCCCTACGAACTATAACAAAGTTCGTTATGTTTTGAGAACAAGATAATGAGATCAGGGAATCAGTGCTGGCCTGGTCCCTACGGAACATGGCATGTTTCTGGTATGCATACAAAGTCCTTTCTCACCATATAGCAGCTAAGGCTCTTGTCCCTTTGAATCTCCTAATTTAATCCCTGTCATCCTGGACAGAGTTGGGTAAAAAAACCCAGCTGCTTTTGGAGCTGTTACCTGTGATTCAACAAGTGGGTCAGTACTAAATTGATAATACAGCATTCATTTTTGTGCAAGCCTTTCACTGAGGCTTTTCTGGGTGAGTGGTGATGGGCTGAATCTGAAGACTCCTAACTCAGCTCCTTGGTAGGAATCTGCACTTCGCCTGACAGCTAAAAGCAACCAGTGTGATGACAATAAGCATGACAGCACTGAAGCAAGATGCCACAGACACCTTTTCCATGGCTCAGGGAATATATGAGATGTAAACCATCTGCATATGTAGAGGTACTCTGCACTCTGAGGCTGTTTCCACTGAAAGGGCATCTAAAAGAGATAAAAATGAATTGTCATCATTATGGACTGGATTTCTGCCAGCTGCTTAGTAATTAGAGTTTTAATTGCCCAATAATAAAAGTTTTAATTACTCAGCAATTAGTGCTTGAAGTTTCAAGTGCTTCACATGCACTCCATCGCATTCTCAAATTGCCAAGAGCAAAAGATGGAATAGCTCCAGTGTGTCTCAGCAAATCTCTGAGCAAGAGGAATGAATAACAAATGATGGAGCCGCAGCAGAAAGTGGGTATCGCCCCAGTGGTCAGCCAGGCAAACACTTTTTCAGAGCAGAACCTGCAGGCAGCTTGTGACCTTTTCCAAATTCATCATCTCCTCAGCTAGGCCAGACAAGTTGCTCTGGTCGTAAAGGCATCATGCTGGGGAAAGGCTTCTGCAGAGATCAAGTCCTCTTCAACACCTCTGGTCTTTTACTTGGTGCATTCATTCCTTCAGGCTTTTAGTCACATACTCTGCAAGTACTATTTGTTTTTTTAAACAACTTTTGAGCTAAACTCACATAGATCCCATAGGAAGCACCTAGCTCTGTAGGTGGCCTACCAAAGTGCCTGAAACCCATTCCTGCAGGATGCATTTACAGTTAGTAGAATCCAGCTGCAGTATGTTTATTGCAATTCAACAAAATATTTTACCTGTACTATATTCCCTAACCAATGCAAGGCCAAAACACCCTTCGCTGGGTCAAACATGAATTAGTGTATTATCCCAATTAATTTTCTTTATGGTAGACAGTAAAGGTCCTAATTAACACAGTCTCCAAGGACCTGTTTTTTTTCTCCTTGCATTACTTGAACTTAAATATCATTAACGAAGTCAACAGTTGGCAAAGGCCTAGGAAACAAGACTGAATGTAGGCTACAGAGTCTACGCCAGGTGATTTGTTTTCCTTTTTTTAACTGGTTTCCAAATTTATCTATCAGTAAGCAACAGTTACAGTTGAGAATTGAAGTTTATGATGAAAGGCATCAATAGTCACACAAACACAGCTTTTATAAAAACCTTCCTGTTCCTGTTTATTAGAAAAAAACCCAACAAGTCTAAACTACGGTTACCTAAACATCAATACCTAAATCACATACACATAACATGAAACAAAACATGGATTTTCCTCTCTGCTCTGAAAGGAACCTACACCGTTTAATAGTACCTAGTAACCTGGATAGTAACCTAGTTAGTAACTCAAAGCGTTTAGCTGGTCTGTAATGTAGCATCAGATGTTTTCTATTCTCCAGACTGTACAGGTCATTGATTCCACAAATAATCTACCTCACTGTGGTGCTGAGTTCAGGGTCTATGCTTAAGTTTTCTGTCTCATTTCCCTGAAACAATAACTGTAGTACATTTCACAGCGGCAAGTAAATACCTGATCATAGCACACTTTGTTGTTTGTAGTTATCATAGAATCACAGAATGGTCAGGAAGGGACCTTAAAGATCATTGAGTTCCAACCCCCCTGCCATGGGCAGAGACACTTTCCACTAGACCAGGTTGCTCAAATCCCCATCCAGTTTGGTCTTGAACACTTCCAGGGATGGGGCATCCACAACTTCCCTGGGCAACCTGTTTCGGTGTCTCACCACCCTCAGAGTAAAGAGTTTCTTCCTGATACCTAATATAAATCTCCCCTCTTTCAGTTTCAAACTGTTACCCCTCATCCTATCACCACACTCCCTGACAAAGAGTCCCTCCCCAAGTAACACTGTGAAATACTAAAGTCATAATAAATTCTGATTCACCTCATTGAATGTAGCTGTCTTGTCTAACAGGCTCAATAAATACACATAGTCATCTCCAAAGGGTGAGTCACTCCTTCCAGACATATATGCCCAGGACAGATGAGGTGATCTACTCTCTGGAGGAGTTGTCTCTATCAACTAAGGAGAGATCAGCTTTTAGACAGCTGAAACCAGGGGAAAAGTAAGGTCTTCGATGTGTCTTAGTAGGAGAATGGCCAGAAAAAAGGAGGCTGTGTTGAGGGTCAGTATTGATTTCCTCTTGCACAGCCAGGAGAAGAACATGTATTTCAGATAATGTTGATGTCGCAGTTACCATTATTATTCCTTACACTGTGGCTGCACCTCAAAGTCCCAGGCTCAAATTATAAACCACTCTGTTGGACACTATATAGATAAAGGACAAACAGCTAAACCTCCATCCCTAATAGATTATGGTCAAAGCAGTTCATGCTGCCCATTTTATTCACAGTGAGAAGTCATACTGTACACTAAGTCTTTGCAACAGGTAGTTCTTTCTTTGAATCTAGTATTGGAAAGTGCTTCCTCTATTCCGTGTTTGCCACTCTATGAAACTTCTCTTTTCCCATTATTATTTTCCAGCTATGCTTTTCCCAGCTGCTCAGCGATTCAAGAGATCCTCAGCTGCCTTCCTTAACCCAGTGCTACAGAACTCGCTGGAAGATGTGGTCCTGCTTTATGAGGTTCAGTATATGGGAGCAGATGGTACCTTAATCCCTAACCAAAACTGGGGCTACTGTGCATACTGGGGCTGTCCATTATCTGTCTTTTAGTCATCCCAGCAGTAAACCCTTTGGTGACTGTGTAATAGCTCACCAGAAGGGAGAGAACAGGCATATTTATGACAAACTCAGCTCTTTCAGCACTTAAGCAGGTAGCAATTGCTTGCAGTAGCTCAAACATGGGTTCTAGCTCATTGACAGGCAAAGTGAAAACCAGAGCAAATGGCATCCCACTGAAAACAACTTTCTTCCAGAATAGTTACATATTAATAACGCAATGTGTTTAAATTTTTTGGTGCAAGTCTCAGCCCCAAATTATTTGTTCAAATTGTTAAAGCCATGAGTATCAGTCATTGCAAAGTAATGACGATGGCATGACTGTTTCACTTCAAAATTATTCCAGTCCTCTCTTTCACAGCAGTGGAGACTGCAGATGTAATGCACAGTCTGGAACAGTGTCATATGGTTAGCTAAGGGAAAGTGGCCCACCTAAAGAAGGTGCATGGGTCAAATCTACCTATCCATCCCACACCTTGAGAAACTGGGATTGGATGTCCAAACAGGGTAGATGGGCTGGGAAGCCACTGTTGCACTCTCTCACACAGAGCTAACCACCACTGCTATCCCTGGCAGGGCAAGCAGCCTTTCCCAGCTGTGCTGCTGCCTCCACCTCTTTAATACCCATGTGGCACCAGCAGCAATCCATACCTGTTTTGGACAACAGAAGATTACCTGCTTTTTCCTTTGCCACTTTCCTTTCCCCATAGTCTGTCTCTAATTTTCCCAGGTAGGTAGCACAGAAGTCCAACATTCACATAGAGACTTTCCAGTTTGCCCCATCTCCAGCCAGAGCAATAAGAGCTTTTTCTCCATTTGACTTAAAGTAAACACCTAAGGACATGTTGTTAATTCACATTTACTCTGCCTAGAGTCTCTTGGAGAAGATAAATAGCTTTCTGTGTTCTGATTTTGTACCAGTTTCTTTTAGCTGAGCTTGACATTGACAAACATCAGAGGATCTCCATCAAAGATGAGGAGCTCGCTTCACTGCGGAAGGCTGCTGAGTTTGACACCATCTGCAATGAGATCATCCCCAAGAGCATCACAGAGATCCGCAGGCTGAGTAGCAGGTTGTCTTCCTACCCAAGGGTCCTCAAGAAAGAAGACTTTGAAAGGACAGTGCTGACCATGGTCTACGCGGCCTACAGGGCTGCTCAGTCCCAGGGGCACCAAAAAGACGCTTGGGCTGAATCTTTTGTCAGTCTTTACAAAGCCCTGAAGCATGACTTGATGTTCCCGTACAACAAAGAGCCATCATAGCAGGAGACTTGATGCAACAGCAACTCAGCCACTTTTTCTGGTTGATAAGGGACACATGTAGCACGTCCTCCACTTTATTTGTAAAGAATTTAATAGCCTGCTTCATGAAAGTTTATTTGAGATTATTTGTTTTCTAGCTCCCTCTTGTGGAATCCACTTTATAGTTCCATGTTAAATGGGGAAAAACGTTATCGTCAGTCCTGGGAATTTGATTTTTATGCTGGCTTGGAGGCACATTCTGTGACAGGCAAAGAAGGGAGTCTGCTGTACATCCCAGACAGACATATCCTTATTTCATCCTGTGAGTTTCCTATAAGCAATACATAAGCATATTACACTTATGCTCACATACCTATGAGTGTTGCTGAAGAATGCTGCTTCCTAGCTGGGGAATCAAGTTCATATTTTGCCTGGCCAGTAAAAGAATATAAATAATAAAGAGATGCAAAGGCCCTCTGTAAAAGAAAGACGTTTCATAACTGTCAGCCTTCAGAAATTATGCCAAATATTATTCATTCCAAATATTCTTGTAAATAAGCACTGTCTGATTCACTTCATTTGGCTGAGCCAGATTTTAATTCCAATAACATTTGCAGAAGACAAAGGGCATTGTGAATACGAGCAGCAAACAATGCCTGGGAACATATTCACTGCTTACCTAGAGCCACCCTCCCCAGCTGTCTGCAATGATTCTTTCATTATTTGCACATGACTTTGCTTCTGCTCCTTGTTTTTTTTTTTTTAAGGGAACATGTATTTGTCCTCAGTGGAGTCAAAGGCAAGACAAAGGCCCTGTTTAATTTAACAATGACACATTTTTCCTGGTTCTGTCTCTTGAACATAGGTCATCGAAACCCATGCTTCAGAATCCCCATGAGGCAAGGGAAGAAGGTGCATTAAAACATACCTGGTGCTGAATTTAGCAGTGTGGCTCATTTTTAATGGAAAATTATATATTTCCTTGTGTATATATTTGTGTGTGTTCATGTGAGTGTGTGCACATAAGTGCTGAGTACATGGAAGAATCCTAAATTGTCCAGTCAGGGAACAATTACATCTGACCACTTAGCAGAAAATGCCATTCACCAATCCATTGGTGATGAATTTGGGAGCAGTGCAAAAGCAGTACTTGTTTACGGCAATTTTTATTATTTTATTTTTTTTTTTTAGAAATAGTGTAACTGGTTGTTATAAGCTGCAAAAATATCATGGACAGAATGGACAGAAAAAGGAGATCTATCTTGTCAAACAGATGACTAGTAATGAAAAATCCAAACTCTTCTAAAGCAAATCCCCAAAATTTTGTGAGAAAGTTATATACACTCTGTTTCTCTGCTTCCAGAGCATGGGAAAACAGGTGAATATTTATTTAATCCTTTCATATCACCATTCTCTAACTCTCTGTTTGCATATTATCTTGAGGAAGCAGGCTCAAATCACAAATCCCCTAGGCTGTAAAAGAGAACTGAAGATTCCAGCCCCAGTTCTGAATCATGTTTAACTGCTTTTGCATCACTTGAGCACAAGGAATGAACTCTTCAGTGTCCCTGGACAGGGATACTCCAAGGATTGCAGCTGAAAAAATCCATCCAGCACCACCTAGTCGCAGCAAACAGTGCAAGCAGTCAGAGCACACTGGGCTTGGCAACCACCCAGGGGAATGTGAAACCACAGCAGCCTTAGGGGCAGGCTGGCAATGGCATAAGCAGGTGGACAAAGGGTTTATAAAAGACAGAGTCAGTCCTGTTTCTCTCAGCAGTTTCTGTATGTGTATGCATGAGTGTGCATGTTTACATTTAGATGCGCATATGTGTAGGTGTACTTTTATACCTGAAGATCTTTGTTGGGCATCTTCAAAGCCTGGCTGGCATATGGCTAAGGACACTGAAAACCTCAGCCACAAAGTGATGAGACACAAGCATCTCCGTCTCCTCTACTTGCACACACAGCTCAGCAACCACAAAGCAGCCTTGTGCTACAGTCCACATACCCTTTAAGCCTTCAGCGTAAACACTGACAACCTGTTTGTGTTTTCCTCCCACACTATGCTTTATAAACACATGGAGGGGAAATGCCATGGAGCACGCTCCTGCCTTTCCAGCTCTGCTTCTTCTTGGCTCCCTGAAGCACCACTTGCCAGAAGAGCCTGGAACCAGGACAACTCATAAATCCCCTACAGCCAGTGACTCCAAGTTTGCAAAGATAACTAGATAGAACACCACAGCAAGTATTAATTAGTAGCAGTCACTATCCAGACAAATACCTCCCAGACACTCTTCTCAACCCACAACAGGACTGTCCAGCAATCAGACTTTACTCACCAGTAAGTATCACATGGAAAAGAATTACAATACTTTTGAATATCCAATTGTTGCCTATGGCATACCTACTTTCCTGTACCTTAAAAACTGGTAATTGAAATCTTTCCTTCCCCAATAGAAAATAAAGTCTTTTTGAGTTTCTTTCCCTCCTCCTGTTACTGTGTGTAGTGTAGGAAAAGAGATTTATTCCTTGGGAATGTGCTTGGACTGCCGAGGTTAATTTAACAGAGACTGTCAATGTAAGAATAAAAATATTCTACATAAAACTAATTGCAGTGTATTGATTTCAGCAGCAGCAGATTTACTATTCAGCAAGTTGCAGTATGGATTATTGGTTATCTCACTCTGCAAAACTCTTCACAGGAGCAACAGTACAGGAGAGAAGGGGAAACAACCCTTCCCTCTAATAGGCAAAAGGAGGTAATAAATAGGAACCGGAGTGACTCCTTTTTCCAGAGTTCAAATGGGAGGGAGCACTTTGCACCAGGGCAGCTATATGGGCTTAGGGCAGCTTCCCTCCTTCAGTATTGCTTAGGATGCAGGTGTAAGTTGCCTGCTCCTGAAGGTGGGAGAGAGGAAATACTGTTAGCTCTTCCCCAGCTCAGTTTGTATCTCATTACTTTAAACTGAGTCAAGTTTATAGACAGTTCTTCCCTCATGGGGTAAAGAGCCATTGGCTCTAAATGACACCTTTCATCCACACTTTGACCTTACAGGTTATAAAAAAAGTTTTCACAGTTAAAATAAAACTTTTTAAATTTTTTTTTTTTAGTATTTTAGACGTGCTTTTATCTTCCCTGAAACAACTGACAGAACAGATATAAATTTACTGATTTTATTGGCCAACCCAAAATCTTCACATTAACCATATTTTTGATTCCAGAACTAGTTGCTAAACTTCCCTGAAGGGTCTCAAGGTGCTGTTGTTTGCTGAACATTTCAAGCTATAGAATTGTTACAGTCTTAGATACAATTAATACTTTCAGGAAGAATTCGTGCTGCAGATCAAATTCCTCTGCATATTTGCCTTTGCCATTTCTCCAGGACTCAGTGTCCCAGAAGCATCCCAGTTCAGTCCGGGGAGCTCAGTTTGTGTCTAATTGGCAGTGTGTGGGTAGATGATAGACAAACAAGGTTTGGGAGCATGGAAAATCTGAGACTTGTGGCTTCCTATGAGATACAGGGCAAACGGATGTCTATCTACAGGTCATGCATGCGACCAGCCAATGGATTCAGTCCCAAATCTCCAGTATTTTCCACTCTACAAAGAGCATTAATAATGGCAGAGTTGTAGAAGTGTTTCTGCCCTAGAAGACTAAAGTAAAAGCCTAAAAATTCTCAATTTGAGTCTGAATCCTGCTGTTACTGAAGGCACATGAATCAGCACAGAAATCAGCTCATGCCTTATGAATAAGTGATGTTCATGGATCAGGAAGGAAGAAACATGAAAGACAAAAGATACTGTCTAGAAAACAATGTTTATTTATTTATCATCAGTATTGGGACCCTGAAACAATAACAGACTGTTAGGAACTAAAAAAGATCTTTTTGTCTGTTTGTGTGAAAGAGGAGGCTGCTGATTTTCTCAAATATTCTGACTGGGTTTTTGATAATGGGTGGAGCAACTACTGCCTTCCACAGTCCTTATTGGTGAATTAGAGTTGCATGAAGCTTTTTAACAAGTTTTTATCTTGAGACCAAGTATAATCTGTGTTGGAATTGCCACCCTGTGAATTCCAAGCTCAGGGCAAAAGTAGGGTAAAGGTAGATACAAAGTAGAAGCTGAAACTATAGCAAAGAGACAAATCTGGAGAAGCTGCAGATAGTTTAATTTTTATTTGTTTTTCTGAAGAAGGAATACCTGCAAGTTTGTTTCTGCGCACAAGAGATTTTTGGTTTTAATAATTTTTCAGGAGGAAAGAAACCTGTATTTAAGACATTCAGACTATCAAACAGAAGGAAAAGAAGCAGCCTGAAACATATCTCATCCAGTTAACAAAAGCAGGAATTACATTGTTGGATGATGGAAGAAAGAAACCTACCAAAATATGGAGATAAGAAAGCAACACAGCTACATATGTGATTCTGAATTAAAAAGAAAAATTGTCAAAAGATCACTATGCTCCAGCTTGCAAACCTCTGTATGTTATGGTGTGATAATAATTTGGATGTGCTGGTGAGCCCTACTTAAACTGAATGTCTTTTTAATTGAAAACTCATTAAGATCTCTTTTCAAAACAACAGATTGAAGAATAATTAAGAAAGTTATTTCAGGTGACTGCATGGGGATAGGAAATGAGGCAGTGAGAGACCTTTCAGGGAAATCTGAGCACAGGTGAAGGAAAACGTGGAGTGGAAGTTGGAGTATCTGAGGAACCAGAGAAGCAACCCAAGGAGAAGAAAGCCACCAGAAAGTAAAGGAGTATGGCAGTGATGAAGGAAATTCTCAGATCCAGGAATCTCTTGCTCGTTGTTCTCATCCCGCTTCTGCTGCTTCCTCTGCCACTTTTATATCCCAGCAGCGTAAGTACATTTTTATTTTCTTTTTAACAAAGCCTCTGAGTGCAGTAGGTAGAGACGCTGGATAAGCCTGTAGTGTGCAAAAAGAAATGCAAAGACCTAAATAAGCATTGCTCTTAGAAGAATCAAAGACTCAAATTGGAAGGACTGGGAAAGTCACTGAGAAGTTATCACAGTAAGAACCAGAGCTACCTTGAGTCATGTCACAAGCAGGACTGAAGAATCAGGTGAAGCTAGTAAAGCTCTATTTTAAAGCAGAAATATTCTCTCTCTTCTTTTTCTACAGTAGTATGTGTGTAAGGGGGAGCAGAACAAACATATCCAATAAAATTTTCTATATGCAGAGGTCTTTAAAAGGAATACTTTTAGTGTCTTTAGTTTTTAATAATAAGTATGTAGAGAGGGACTTTCAGCTTAGCCTGGTTTTACAGGACAGCAATTCAAGTGAGGCAGGAGCCTCACTGAGAGATACTGTCACTCAGTGACAGACATGTAGGACCAAATATGGCATCCATTATTCTAAAGCAGGTCTAGGCACCTCTACTGAAACATTGCAGCTCTGGCAGTGGCTAGTAAATGGTGGCTCAGCTACATACACAGCAGTACAAAGGAGGGAATATTCGGTGCTTAACACTTAGACCAGGGAATGGGAGTGAACGCAGCTGCATTCCTGACACAGTTTTGGAGTTACTGAGTACCCTTGCCCATGTTGTTATCTCTTCTCTGTGCGTGCTTCTGCAGCTGTAAACCACAAAATAACATTTTCCTACCTTATAGAGATGGTGATGTTTACCTTAGCAGAATTTGCGATGTATCAAAAATTCTGCCTCAGGTGCTTCCATAGTGCTAGATATAAATCTGGCCAAATGGTGCGGCAATTTCCATTCCTTCCTCTACCCTGATAAAGATTAATTCTTCTTTTTAGTACCAGAGGGTTTATGAATATTACTACTTTATCAAATAGAAATGCAAAGGATTAGAAATTGTATAGCAGTTTTCAAAAATAAAACTCCAGTATTTTGTTTGGAAAGAGAAACTGTATTCATAGAAAGGAAATGTTCCTAGAACTGTATGTTGTGCTTTGAATGAGTTTTCCTCCTCTGAACTTCCATGTATATCTCTGCTGTCCTCTTATAGCAGTTTTTCACCTCTTCTCTATCGGGAGGGAATGAATGACAGACAATTGCTTCTTCAGAGAACAGCAAGGCTCACCATTTCACAGAGGCTTGTTTTAAAAAAAGGTTTAATCTCCCCCAATGTCACTAGAAGGGCGGCATAAGAACAGATACTCCCTGACATGCCCATATGGCACTGTAACTGCAGCATGCTCTCTGTCCCTTGAGAACCTCTCCTAGGAAACATGAGACTCACTGCACTAAAATTTGTCACTCATGTTTGCTCCCTACTGGATTCAGAAGCACAGGATGCAATAAGGAAACTCTAATAACCCAGGGAATTGTAATAGCATCATATGGGTGCTAAAACAGATGTTCACTGACAGTATAGCTGCAAGAACTGCTATTATACAGTACAAGCTTCTCTGAGCTATTACTCTGCACCTCATGGTATGGCTTTACTGCAAAGTGGTATGAAAAGCCATCAGATGATGTTTTGCATCCACATTATAGACACATGAATCACCACAGATGGTAAAGTATAGCCATGAATCTGACCCAGAGTTGGACAAATGCTCATAACGCTATTAAGAAAACATCTACACCAAATAAACTCCATTGACAATACATTATTCAAGTGGTTTAGTGTAGTAGTTACTTTGTTACAACCCATTTACTACAATTACTTCTTAAACCTGAAGATTAAATTTGTCACCTGCTGACTTACTTATATTTTCATTTATCAGACAATTATATTAGTTTTCTGTCTTTCCTATAGAGATCAGAATAACCAGGTGGTTTACATTTGCATTTCTGCAGGGAATCAGCTTGCAGCTTCTTTGATGATATCAGCACAACTCTGGAAATGTCAAAGAGCATTACATGTGTAGTGGCAAGAGAGATCAAAGGGAGCACAAGGACTCAGAACTGTTTGTAGATATGGCTTATGGGAATAATATCCAAGGCTTCTTTTCTATTGTTTTATGACAAGAAATGGTTGGGTAAAAAATAAACCTAGGAAAATTTGCTTTAATTCTTCTTCCCTTTCCAAAGCTTATATCTGAACTGTGACTTTAGGACACACATAAGTGCCTCTTTCAGGTCGTGACACATGCAGAAAGAAACAACGTGGTTTTTACAAATTGTAGGTCTTTTTCATTCTTTCCTTATTTTCCTCATTGTTCACAGTGACACGGGAGAATTTTTGCCTCTTTTTTTTCATTTTTATGCACCTTCTTTCATAAAGCCACCAGTGACACCATAAAGCATGCCACATGAATCCAGTCAGTTGTGGCCAGGGTGTCCTATGACTACTGATCCTGTGGCCACACTGAACCCAATGAAGGACACGTGGATGACTCCTCAGAAGTCAGTAAGAGTTGCTGTAAGCTGTGAGACCTGCAGCACCAGATGATGTTGACATTTTGACATGCCAAGTCACCAGAATGGACCCTAAAGCACAGAACATGCTCTGAACAGCCACAGATGGCATACTTTCATTAACCTTTGGTTTTATTTCCACAAGCTGAAGGGAGGGCATTATAGTGTGATCCTGTCAGTCAGGTCAAAGATGGTAGTCCAGAGGTCGGACTACCTCTTCTTTGCACAGCTTAACCACATGCCTGCATGCAAGATATGGAATGCACATCCTTAAGTGGGAAAATCTCCAACACAGAGTTTATTCTTTTTAATCACTCTGAGATCCTCAGATGTTTTAATTATAAAAGTTTTATGCATGACCCTTATTGTGGAATTTTTAGCCATGACTTCCTTTCAGCTTCTCTTTTCTTTTCTCCTAATGGACTGACTGAACATAGATGGTAGTTCTTCCAACCTTCACATGTTTTCCTCTTCCCTGCTTCAAGCCCTGAGGTGGGCTTAACAGTAATGTACAGCTGTACAAGAAGTGAGAAGGGTGAAACAGTTAAAATAATGCAGCTGCTACTACAGTCCAGTACTTAGTAGCTCTGGTAACCATTAATTAAATATATAAATTCAGTTCAATTAAATAGAAGAGATTAATATGGTTTCTCCTGGAAACAAGCTGGTTCAAAGCACTGAGAAAATAAATAAAGTTGCTAGACAAGCTGATTAAGTTTTTAGTGCAGATTATCAAATTTAGCTTTCCTTCTATTTGCTACCCAGTTTTAAACCATTTAAAAATGTGCTTTATTTTCATTTCATTGTAAACTGATACAGCCTAGTGTACAGGAAACAGCTCTGTGCCCATCCCAGCTAGGTTTTGATAGAGATGCAATTTGCTTTTGTCCTATTCCATTTCCACTGTCTGTCTACTTTATTGTTAAACACAGAGGAGCAATAGAAAACAACAATCTATGCTCAAAGAAATTACAGAGAAGTATATTTTTGGAGTGAGAAAGTAGTTGGGAATCAGGTTAGGATGAAATTAATTTTGTTAATTTTGGCAAAAAATATATGTCTTGGATCTTACATCTGCACTGCTTTAAAATAAAAATCGATGGTTTTTCATTAAAAAGAATTTTCATTTTTCTCCTCAGACAAATGCTGGATATCATACAGGGCCCATGTAAACTAGTAGTTTGTTAACAGAAGCAAATGAGTTAAAAAAAATTTTAAAAATGTGTCAAGTAGTTGCTAGGTCACAAAGGTGACCCCATGCTCTGCTCTCTGTGAAATATTAACCATGAAGTACAATTTAGTTAAAGGTGACTGAGGAGCAAGCTGGCTAATGTTTATGAGCCAATCCATTAGTAATGTGACTGTCATCTAAAATACTTTTGTCTTCCTAGTAGTGATTACTAAAAATCTCTAATGCCTGTCATCTCACTTTTAAAATTATTTCCATTTTAAGGTCAAAATTATTTGAGTTTTTTACCGAGTGATCACTTGAAGTTGTTACACACTGCAGACCAGTCTTTGGAGCTTCAAACAGCATAACAATTCCATTTTATACAATACATGCTTAATAATCCACTAATATTGAACTCCTACCTCTAATCTCATCCATTCTAAACCCACCTTCTCTAGCTTCTCTTATAATTTTTTCTTGGGAGCAATGAAGCTATAACTGCAATGTGCACTTTTATTGCAATATTTTGCTGAAGGACCTGATCACAGAAGACTAGTGAAACCTCTACAGGAGAGCTAAAAACCTAAACCACTCTTATATAATACTTAAGCAAGAGAAACAAATATGCATATTTCTGTGCGATTCAGAGTACTTGTCCATCCATAAAGGATGCTAAATTTCTCCAACAGCCCTTCAGATGCTCTTTATCATCTCGAAAGCAATTGGAGTTTATCTGATTCAAGGAAATTATTTTTCCTGGTAACCTTATTTCAGGTATTTCTGTGGCCCTGCTTATGTGAACCAGAACTGCTTAATGTTATGCTTTTCTGAAATAGGAGTCAGAGCAAGGGCTGCCAGTTGACTTAAACCCAAGCTTGGTTGCAATTTTGAAGCAAGTGAAGAAAATGGCACATAGCGATCTATCTTCTTCTCTGGTCTGTGTTCTGCCTGTTATTACTATAAGCTGTACTAAAAAAGATGAACAGCTGATTGTGGATCTTTGTTAGGGTAATGTAAAAAGGACGTGTAGAAATATGAATTTAAATACAAGCTATTGAACTCACATTCCTGTATAGTCTTACTTTAGACTTTACCACCTTGTTCACAAAACTGAAGTGTTATACACGCTCACTGATTTGCACAAGGATCTGTGGGCATTGCTTGCGTGACTTCTTGAAAGCTGCTAAATTTGGGAGTCATCCAGTCAGGAAACAAAAGTAATGAAATTATATTTTTAAAACACTCAAATAGCATTTGTGAACAGTGAATTTTCTGAAAAATAGTGATTGTGAGCTGTGAATCCATGTGGTTCAATAAGTTCATACAGAACATCCAGTGAATAATGAAGAACGAGCGGATTTATAACTGGTGTAAATCAGTGAAGAACTACTAGCTTCCATAGACCTGCCCGTTAGACCCAGTACAGGAGCTGGCTTAAAATTTGAGAAAAGGAAAGAAAAAAATTTTCCTAAAGATAATTTCTGTAATTATTTGCAGGAAATATAGAATCATAGAATGGTACAGATTGGAAGGGACCTTAAAGATCATTGAGTTCCAACCCCCCTACCAAGGGCAGGGCTTCCACTAGGCCAGGTTTGTCAATGCCCCTCCAGCCTGGCTTTGAACACTTCCAGGGATGGGGCCTCCACAGCTTCTCTGGGCAACCTGTTCCAGTGTCTCACCACCCTCACAGTAAAGAATTTCTTTCTAGTATCTAATCTAAATCTCCCCTCTTCCAATTTAAAACCATTGCCCCTTGTCCTGTCACTACACTTCCTGACAAAGAGTCCCACTCCGGCTGTCCTATAGGCTCCCTTCGGATATTGAAAGGCCACTATGAGGTCTCCCCGGAGCCTTCTCTTCTCCAGGCTGAACAACCCCAACTCTCTCAGCCTGTCTTCATAGGAGAGATACTCCAGCCCTCTGATCATCTTTGTGTCTCTCTTCTGGATTCACTCCAACAGGTCTGTGTTCTTTTTATGTTGGGGGCCCCAGAGCTGGACGCAGTACTCCAGATGGGGTCTCATGAGAGCAGAGCAGGGGGGCAGAATCACCACCCTCAACATGCTGGCCACACTTCTTTTGATGCAGCCCAGGATGCGGTTGGCTTTTTGCGCTGCCAACGCACATTGAAGGCTCATGTTGAGCTCCTCACCTGAGGAATCTCTCAGAGCATTTCCCAAAAAAGCCACAATGTAGCTTTATCCATGGTACAGCAAATATGGATGTTCTTACCTGACCCTGAAAGCTATGGATTCCTGTTCTTATCCAATATTGGAGATACAACTGTGTAGAAATACCAGCTCCACAAGCCCTTAGGAGTCAAGGTTGAATGTTTGGTAAATATTGGATTATGAAATTCAAAGAAATCTGTAAATGCGCTTGGAACCATTATTTTGGTGATAAATACATTTAACCCAATGTTTTGCCCTAGATTATGTGCAAAAAGTCCAGGCATCTCAGTCTCATAAGTCCTATGAACACTTTCACAAAGGCTTCCACGGCAGGTGGTGTGGCAGTAACATGATGTAACCTCCATGCTTTCTCCCTACAGGAAGCTTCATGTGCCTACGTGCTGATTGTGACAGCTGTGTTCTGGGTCTCTGAAGCAGTACCTCTTGGTGCAGCAGCCTTAGTTCCTGCTTTCTTATACCCACTTTTTGGAGTTATGAAGTCCAGTGAGGTCAGTATGCACTTTTTTATTATTTAATCTGCTTAATCTCAGCTAATTATTTGAATAAAACTAAACTTAGTGGAATAGCAAGACTAAGAAGTGTGGGAGGAAGAAGTGTACAACTTGTAATGTGTAACTTGAGCCAACCAGCTTTTGCTTTTACTGAAGAGACATACAGGAATGTGTATATTAGCCAAGCGGGGTGTCTATCCTGTCAGCTATGGCATCACCAACAATTTCCAAAACCTATTGCATTAAAGGATCCCACCTTTCCTCTCCTCCAAAAAAATGTAAACAGCAGTTATAGGATCAACTGCAAAATTTTATTCCAGTTATATTTATTTAAAATGATGCATAATGCATGAGGCTACACATCCTAAAAAGAATTACCATTTACTGTATAAGATTAGATAGTGTTGTTATCCTGGTGAATGTCTAGTCCTTTTTTCAAGCTGTAACCTCAGTGCTGCCTTGTAGCCATGAGTTCTAAGGTAAAGGAGCAGCTGTACAAAAAAATTTCTTTGATCAGTTCTGAATTTGCTTACTTGAGTTTTTGGTGAATGTTATTTTCTTTCATGATATGCCAAGAATTTATTTTATTTCATCTACAGCTTCTTTTTTCTTGCTTTTTTCTATCCCTTTTTTGGTGGGTACTTGATTTACAAGGACCAGAAGTACAGATAGGAACACAGAAGAATATATAGCAACCATAAAATTGTTGAATTTCCAACACAATATAGCCCTGGACATGCCCATAAATGGATGAAATCAAGCATGAACCAAGAGTTTTATGACCTGCCTTATTCCTCCCAATGGTCTAACAACTGTGTAATATAATCAGGTCCATTTCCATACGAATACAATTAAATATTTTCAGGATTTTTTTCCTACCATAAAGTTAAAGTAGTTACACATTTTCATCACAAAATTCTGAAGCATGTTGAAGAAGGAAAATTTAAGGGCAGGTTGACAGAAATTCAATGTAATATCAAATTAAATGGCAGTGGGGCTACTGCAGAGAATGTATCATTTGCTTTAGGAACAGAAATAAATCCCTGAATTTTAAAACTGTAACTCTGATGATGCTGCAGTATTTCCAGTCTGGTGTTCTGGAGTGCCATAGAAACCCAGCACTCTTGCCTAGCAGTTTAAACTACAAATAACTCACAGAAGCTTAAGAACATGAGCCAGTGTGTCATATATGTGAACATGTGTATTAATAAGAATATTAATATTCAGTTCTTTCTCCAAAGTGACAGCTCAAGGAATAAAGGAAAACAACAGATTCTTCATGCTGCTGGCTTGACGGATTCTTTTCAATCAGTTCAAGATCTTTTTTTTAACAAGGTAGCAGGAAAATAAAGGAAGTTAATGAGGAATAAACCAGTGGAAGAAAGCCAAAAAAGTGATATTTAAAAGTTCTGGCACACAACTATGATGGCCAAGTCAATTTAGATGACCATGGGGATTTGTTAAAGGAATATAATTGAATTCTTAACTTGCTGCAGCTTTCACAAAATAACATTAATGTCATTCTTGTACTTTTATGAAGGAGCTTCAATATAACTGAGGACAATGGAAAAAATACTGCTTCTACTGATTGTAATTGTTTTAAAATGCTGGTTCCCACATTTGGTTAGAGGAATAGCTTTAAACTGAAGAAAATATGTTTTTGGAAAAATATTCCAGCAACAGCTTGGGAAGGATTGCACGAGAACGAAATGAAAAATTTAGATAGACTCCAAGCATCTGTTAATAACATTTGTTTTCTCCCATTTTGTTTGCTTTCACACCAGAGAGAGAGACAGAGAGAGAGCATGTTTTGTTTTGCTTCATTTGTTATTTTTGCAGTTACTTCACAGAACATCTTTTCATATCTTAGCATGACACACATTCAAGAATGCTGCTTTGGAGGATCATGTGTTGTCTCTAATTTTTTTTTTTCCTGAGCCAGTTGATGATTTTGGTTCATCCCCTTTAAATTAAAGTTCACTTTTTTGAAACTTTACCCTATTTTCATGATACAATGGAGATGGATTTCCATTGTGAAAAGTTCTGGCACAGGGTTTGTGGATCATCAAAGCAATACCCCAACCTTTCTTTATTGCATGCAGACAGCATGTCCCAAAGGATTTTTCCTGAAGCTGTAGGTTCTAGGGATCCCACATTTTGCCCAACAGTTGAACAAGACATAAGAAAAACAAATAAGACAGACAACCGCCTCTCCAGAATGAAAAAGCAGACAAAGCACATATATTAGCTGCTTTCAGTGCAGAGGTTTGTCTGTGGCTGTTTCAGTCTGGTCCTAGCTCAGTGTCTTCAACTGCAGGCAGTGAAAATCCTTCTCAAAGAAGTGAAATTTCTCTTGAGCTCTTCAAAGCTGAGAAACCTACAAACAAGTGCATACGGAGACTTGTTATTTGTAAATACAACATGAAAGAGATTAAAGAGAACATTTTGAATTGTGAATTCTTCATGTACTCCAGCTCTCTGTCATTCTTTCTCTAGGGGGAAAAAATTCCACGATACTGTACTTCCTCTCAGTCAGCATGCTCTCTGTGTGGGGTAGTTACTGTTTTTTTAACCAACTGTTTCTCCCTTGCCCTGAATGCAGGTGGCTGCTGAATATTTCAAGAACACAACTTTGCTCCTCATGGGTGTCATTTGTGTGGCAGCTTCTGTAGAAAAGTGGAACCTCCACAAGCGAATTGCCCTGCGTATGGTCATGATGGCTGGAGCAAAGCCAGGCATGTGAGTGAACCTTTGTCTTTGGGGTAGTCTGGGACTGATAGCATCAACTTGAAAGAGCAAATAAATACTCCAACTTTCCCATCCAGGAGCAAAAGCTAGCTTGATTTGGCGGTCTTTTTCCTGCCCGCTTTTCCTTTCAGAGTTTGAAAGATTACAATTTTTCTCATCATCTTTCTGCCAACTCCTACTCCTTGGTTTCTTGTCCCTTTGATTTCTCTTTTTTACTGATATTGATTTTAGTCTCTGTTCCTTCTTTGCCTGTCCTTCAGCAAACACTAAAGGACATTTAAATCCTGGATATGCTGAAAATTGCTATTTCTCATGTCACACGCAGATGGGGCAGCAAACAACTTCCCATGATATACTGTCTAATGACACTTCTCAGCACAAGGAAGCGTTTTATCTATGTGCAGCATAGCATTTTGGTGGCCACAAAAAGAAAAAGGCCCCATCTAGTTGTCAGTTGACTATAGAAAATATTAGGCCAGGAGGCTTTTAACATTCCTGAAGTGCCTCAAGAATGTTTCCCTGTGTCATACTGCAGGTTGCTTCTTTGCTTTATGTGTTGCACCACGGTGCTCTCCATGTGGCTTTCCAACACATCCACCACAGCCATGGTGATGCCAATTGTGGAGGCAGTGCTCCAGGAGCTAGTGAATGCTGAGGAGGAGCACGAGGTCATCAGTACTGCAGGCAGCACCATTACTGAAGAAAACGAGCCAATAGGTATTTGTCAATATTGGCCATTGTTTCCTAATTTTTTTATCAGTGATCAGACTTGTTGATACACATTAAATTCTATTGAGGTCAGAGCTGTCTGACTTGTACTGCCAGAGACGCTGGCCGATACTCTTTCTTTTTGTACTCTGGTCTTTTTTTTGAAAAATGAAAGGAAGTTTCAAGACATGATGGGAGAAATGGAGTTGGGAAACTATATCGAATTAGAGCATGTACTGGAGTTTGTGTGTCATGAGCTCTCAGATCATAGGATTTTACAGGGTTGGAAGGAAACCTCTGACAAGAAAGTAAAAAAAATATAGAAGATGCCCAAAAGTGTGCTCTGTGACAATTCCACACTTGCCTATTCTACCCCTGCCCTTCCAGGTTGCCCTGGTCATAGCAGGTATCACAAAAAAAAAATATATATTTCTAAGAGCTCTAAATTTAGTTTTGTTCATTGCTTCCCAAAAAGAAAGGATTTCGGAAGAAAAGAATCTCTCTTTTCTTTCAACTTACAGTTCCCAGGCTGAAAATCATGTCATCTAACCTTGACTATTATACGTAGGTCTGATAGTCTTTTAATTGCCAGAGGCACATGATGAGGAAAACTTGACAAAATAAAATGCTGCATAAGAGTCACAGAGTACCTAGGAGAGTTCAGACAAGCTTTTGTTTGTAGTAACTTCTCCACATTCAGTGGGTGGCCCAGGGGCTCAGCTCAGTTCTTCCCCCAAGAGCTTCTTTCTCTGTCTTCATTGCAGGTCTCAGCGAAAAGCATGGCCAACCTTCACTGGAGCTTATCTTCATCAATGAGGAGTAAGAATGAACCCTGTACATCACGACTGGACATTTGAACCCTACACAGGTTGCAATGAAATGAACCTAGGAGTAGAGCCAGGAAGGGCAAGCAGAAGCTTACAAATGAATGCTTTAGATGTGGCTGACAAGGAAGGCTTATATGAGAAATGGAGTTAATGTAACGGTCTGGATCTCACTAAAGCTTCTCAGGATTCACGTAATTTTTAACACTATGGCCACTTCAGAGACAAGGAAAATGTTTGTTAGGGTTGGAAAGATCTTCTTTTGAAGTCTGTGTTTGTGTTGCATAAGAGAGTGCTGTCCACAGATTTTTCTTTCTATTCCCCTGAAGGAACAGTAATGGAGGGGATCCAAGCACAGTGTGGAGTGCTCACAGGACATAGTCAGAGGGAAAAAACAGAGGATTCCTAAGGAAAGCCTGATGAGAATTCAAGAGAGACAGAGAGTAGGGTTGGGGAAAAGGGAACAGAGGGGAGAGAGACCAACAGAACATGCTCTTCCCCTTCCCCAAAAACCTGTATAATATTTCTTTTAATATACATAAAGTTATTCAGAAGTTTGAAACACTGCAAGTTTCAACCAGGTTTCTATTTGGGGTAAAATCTAGTAAGGTGAAAAGGGCAAATCAAGGAAATGACAACTTTCTTTGTCAAATTATCAAATTAATCACTATTGCAAGATACTCAGGACAATATACAAATTCTAAACTAAATTAGTTTAAAGATAATTCTAAAACTATGTTATAGGCTAAATCTTGAGGAGCGTCTTCTCACAAGGTGTGAGAATAAATTGCATAATACCTTCTTGAGCTCCGTATATTTTTTTTCACAATTATTCAAAATAAAATAGAAACAAGTACTTCTTACACCTTTAAAAATTTACTTTACAACAAACATTATCATTCAAACAGCATATGTTGATGACTTTAACTTAACTTGCAAGATCAAAATAGCTTTCTCGTTAGTCTGGAGACTAATGGGTTCTCCAATATTCCCTCTGTTGTTATATCTTTTTATCCCAGCCATATTTTCTGTACAGTATAGAATCAAATTTTCAGTCTGGCATTGTGCCATTAATCCCTTTATGTGTGGGATACTTCATAAAAGAACTATTATTCAAATAGTATTACTTGAAAAAGAGCTTGAATTTAATGGGAAAAATAGCACAACTTCTGGAAGAAATACGTTTTCAATGTCGAAGTAAAATGTCAGTGGATTGTTTGCATCGTCCACACGCCACATAGGACAGATTTTAGAGAAAGCTTTAATGTGGTATAGGTAGGTGTTCAGAAACAGCGTTGGAGAGGCTGGCAGAGGATGATCTTGAGTAGAACAAGACAGTGGTAGCACTGGGTTGCCCAGTGATTCACTCCACTGTGAATGGAGTCCATTCCTAGAATGGGATTTATACTACCTAGAACACAAATCTTTTTCTTTCATGGAGGTGGAACCTGGTTGTTATACAGCTAGAGACAGCACTGTGAAACATAATGAAGACTCTTATGTTGTAGTCAAGATATCACATAACAGGTACTAATAAATGGTATTCTTCCCCATTTCAGTAGGCACTAGTTCTCCTGCAGATGTTGCCCCATCTACCCATGATGTTTGCCTTTTGAGGGAGCTGGGTGAAGAGGCATTTTTAAAGTATATTTTCCTTTCTTTGTTTTTAGTGCTACTACTACTGACTTCAGCTCCTTGATGCACTCAAAGGTATTGTCATAGGTAGTATCTTCTGAGCTACACTGTCTTTAATGCAGGAACCATCAGAGCAGAGTCCACACAGCTCCACAACCAGCTTCTGCTTCCTTTATTTCAAACAAGTAGTGGTTGTTGGCAGACAGTATTGCAAAATGCCCTGCTTTCTATTTAACCTGTCAGCCCAAATCAAGTTGGGAAGCATTAACTCCGTAGCATTGGTTGTATTTATTGCTGGACATTCTGAGATCAAGTCAGCAAACTAACAATTTCATATGGTCTTTTATTGTCCAGGTATTGCCAGCTTCTGCATCTGAGACACCTCAGATACTAGAACAACCTACACATATCACAAAGTCATAGCCTCTAGCAAGGGATCTGTTAGATTCTCCTACATGGCTGAGGAAGAATACCTAAATTTATTATAATCCGACTTTTAAGCTCACTTAAAAATAAAATTAGGTCATTGGGTTTTGTTTTAAGGTTTTTTTCAGGGTAAAGTTTACAGCTGAAATTATAGTGTGGTTTTTGGGTTTTTTTTTTTTTTTTTTTCCCAAGAGACCACTACCCATGATCTTTACAAAGCATCATCAATTCTAATCTAAGTGCCCCTAGGAGCAGAACAAAGGCTAATCCAAAGGTTTTTGCCTCCCTACAGAGTATGAATGGTGTGCACATGATAGCCAACCCTATTGGAACGATGAATTCTAAGAGCAATGGGCAGCACCTGCCTCAGGTAAGGAGATTGTTAGACCCAGGAGGTAAAGGAAAAGATTGACGTGAACATCACCCTCTCCCCACTGTCTCATACTTGTTCCTCGTAAGCTGCATTATATGGAATTGTTCTCCATCATCTCACAGCAGTCATGGCCCTTTGCTAGTTCTTACCTCCATTTAGATGCCTCCATTAAGGAGACTCTCCCCCAATGCCTAGTACAACTCATTTAGCTGTACATCCAGTAATGTGATCACAAGTTTCCCTTCTTATTAGGCTGTTCTACCCACTTTATTTTTGCAAAGCCTCCTTGGAAAACAGCCTAACTCAAAAATAACAGTCCCTGACATGCAATATCCTACTCAGAACTAAACCAGCAGTGGGCATGTACCATTTAAGTGTCCAGCCAGTTCGTTAGGTAGTCTTAGTATCCACCTCCTTTTTGTCTTGCCAAATATCCAGCCTCAAAATCCTCTATTACATCAGCCCATTCCAGTATTTTTACTTCTCTTAAGTGGATCCAAGAAGTGATTGCTGTTTAGACTACAATTACGTAGTATCTTAATGGCATAAATTGATGTTCAGGAAAGATTAGGCTAAAATCAACACAGAGTTCAAAAGAGTCTGAGTGTATGTTTCCAAAAAAAAAAGGCTAATGCGCTTTTCCTCATACTTAATTTCCTCTAATACCCATTTCCCATATACATTCCATGGTTATTTTGTAACAAATATACTCACTTCACTTTTAAACTACAGGGATTTCAGCCAGGGTACCTTCATGATGATGAAGAAACTATAGTATAACTGATTTTACTTCACAAGTCATAAATTTAACAAACCTATCTGAACCACTTGCTGCCTTTTACCTGACGCTAAATTACAGCCTTGAGTTGCATGTGAAGTGCCTTAAAGTACTGTACTTTTTTTCCAGTAGAAGAACTTGATTTACCAACATGGAGACTTTCCTGGCACTGCTAAGAAAGCTTCTTTTGCAGCAATATTTTCCTGCAGTTTTTTCTTCCGTATTCCCATTGCCAAGTCTTTTCCGTACTGTTTCTGAGATCCCTAGCACTCCATTCCAGATTAGAGACCCTAAGCCGGTGTAAGTGCAAAAAGTCCAGCAAGCATTTGTCTGGTGGCTGCTCATAAACCTCAAGGATTATGGATTCCTACTGCTGCAGTGCTGGCGTCCCACCCCTGCAGACCACAAAGGCTTTCGGTTTCCCGCTGAGATTCCAGTCAGAACTGGAGCTGGCCCAAACCATCGCCAGAAGTCTGATCACTAGTTGTCCTACATTTCTGCCACAGACCAGGCAATTTCAGGCCCCTGGACAGGTTTCAAGTTCTGATCCCAGTTAATCCCTGTGAAAAAACTCTGCCCCTTCTTACACAAACCTGTTGTTCCTCTGGGACCAGTATCACCATGGCATTAGAGCAAGCTGGGTGGCTGTTCTGACCATCTTCTTTCTTTGGCAAATGTATCCCCTCACAGGCTCAGATACTGGTCCTGCCTCCTAAATCCTCGGAACTGGGCCTGAGCACTAAGTATCGGTACCAGACCAGACATGACCACATGGTCTGTAAATGCCTCTCACTGAGTATCTCCTATGCGGCAACCATCGGAGGACTGACAACCATCATAGGGACCTCCACTAGCCTCATATTCTTAGAGCACTTCAACAAGTAAGTGATATTGTAGTTGTGTGAGAATGGTGGTTGGATCATTATCATCTCCGTGGCTTTCCCCATGGGTTATTTACTTCCTTAAGGAACACTTGTCTCTCTGAAGACAATTTTGTTTCCTCCTCTACTCTAATGTTATTACTAATGGTTAGTGGTTGAAAGGGGTAGCTTAAGTTCATACATAACCAAGTCTTTCTCCTATGCAAAATGAAAATTTCTCAGCATGTGGTAACATTTAAGTTTCTTCTTTTGATTTTACAAACTGATTATCATCAAGGCAGCAGGCACCCTGGAAAAGTAAATACAAAAGCCATGAAGATACAGGAAAGAAGACAAAGGAAATACTCACAAAAGAAGAAATGTCATAAAATCAGCTTCAAGTTCTTCTATGGGACTTGGATTTTACAGAATTTCCAAAGATTTTGTTGTTATGACATTTCCATCAAATGCACATATCAGACACCTTTGTCAGAGCCCAACAGACTATAGTAATTATTTCTGTCATCCACAGTAAGACATACAAAGATATTCCAGGTGAAAGCATGCTTAAGTCTGCTGACACTAAAAAGAGTTTTAAAAAAACACAGGTAGGGCCAGAATTTCACTCCTGGTAACTCTAAGGGGTTTTGAAGCTGGCTAGACAATCCAGAACACCTGGTCTTAAAGGTATGAAGTGCTATATGGCTCATCTGTTGTTAAGACATGGTCAGTGATTGACATTCTTTGGCAATTGGTTGCACCATGCACATGTAATGCAGCTGTTGCAAATACATACTGATGCAATTTTTCTATCATGCCATGACAAATATATATACACATATATATTTGTGTGCATCTATGCGTATTGGCCACGCCTATCCTTTTACTTTCTAACTTCCTGTTCATCCTTTCTTTCCTTTACAGCCACTACCCAAATGCTGAAGTGGTGAATTTTGGAACCTGGTTTTTGTTCAGTTTCCCCGTCTCCCTCATCATGTTGGTCCTGACTTGGTTCTGGATGCATTGGCTGTTCTTGGGTTGCAAGTGAGTGCAGGTTGTTCAAGTTGCATGGATTATGAAAGCAGGGCATCTGTGGCTGCTCTAGAACATGTCTCATAAAGATGTTTCCAATTGCAAACGACAAAAACTAAGGCACATCTTCCTCCTTCTTGCCAAAACAATTACCAGAGGAAATCTTATTGCTTAGCTGTGTTGCATAGACAGCAGTGTACAGTATTGCAGCTTGAGAGTGAAGTGCTTAGGTGTTGCTGATGGAAACCTTTATGATGCATTCAACTGATTTTTTGACTCTCGTGACCATGAGGAGTGGTGGACCAAAAATCTTGTTAAAGGTCCCTTCGGAAAAGTACAGCTTAAAAGATGAATAGAAAAGTAACTGCAAGTGAACAAGTCACTTTTCAGATCTGCCCCCAGCCCAATAAAATTAAGGTAAACCCAGTTAAAATTAAAGGTAAACAGACTTCATATATATTTCTCTTCAAAGTGGAAAGGACTCACAGCCTAAGAGACTAATACCTTTTGATACCAGTAAGTCCCTTAGTCTCAAAATAAGAACAGGGCTCAATCTCCTAGTTCATTTGTACCACGTATTCTCTTTGCAGAGGCATTTAGCAAAGTTAATGAAAATTGACTAAATGTGTGCATTTAGAGTGGATTAGTTAATCTGCATTAAATTGTGGTGCAGACACATTTACTCAGAATTAAGGTGGCCTTAATTTGATTTAGTTTACTCTCAAAAGTAAGATGAACTGACATCACTAATTTATTTCACCTAAGACAATGAATAAAATGATAATGACTCCTGTTTGCTGCTGACCTTGAGTAGATTAAAAAAGGTAACTTAGAGGTGAATAGCTCCATGTCCTTCTCTCAGTCTCCTGATCCTTGTAGTTCCTAATTAAAAGGCTAAAATAAGTCCACTTTTTTTTTTTTTAAATCTTGAGAGGAAACAGGCCCTAACATGACCCTCAATTACTTTTTTTTTTTTTAAATAAATATAATTGAAATTCCACATTGCATCCAGGACTTCATGCTGATTAATGTTGTTCTAAATAATACCAGAGATTGAAGCATTATCGACTTTTTCAGAAGTACGGGTTGATTCCAAGCCTCCTTAATCTCTGAATCCTGTTCACTGCAGTTCATTAAAGAATATATTATGTTAGGAGCTTTGCTACAATACTCTGCCTTCACGTCTTCCGAAGCCTAGAAACACTTATAGCATGTTGAAACAGCTACCTGTGCATAAATGCTTACTGAATTCGCATAACATTCATGTTCTTTTCCTAGGAAGCCCAGTGTCATCAATCTGGTTTTACTTGGCCCAGTTGGAACAACACATCAGACTTGCTATTTAGGTTCTAGATTAGGTTGAAGTGGAAGGATAACGGACCAACCAAATGATTTTTGCCAGCAAAGCAGAGCTAAGGATAAAATTGTTAGTACAGAATTGGCCATTATAAAACATATAACTCTTCTCTTTCAGCAGCTGCATTACTGCTGGTGAATTTTACTGGAGTCTAACAGCAAGGTTTGCAAGGAAACTTAAATATAAGTACAAGGCAGTGCTAAGTGCGCTAAAAGCAAGTGTCATATAGATGTCCATTTACAAGTAAAATGAAAGCCTATTTAATACTTTTTTGTTAACCAGATGGGGCCTACCTGCATTTTGAGCTGCACAAATTCCTTTGAGAATCTGGCCATAACCAGACACATGGAGGGACATCATAGTCCATGGTTTGGCCAGTGCTATGGGATGGATCTCTAGAAGGGTACCGATTGAGATATTAAAATAAGAGAAACTATAAAAGCAGGCCATTGTGTTCCCATGGTACTTCAGTCACTGAAGTCCCTGCTGATGCAGCCTGTTTTAGCCTGGCTTAGCTGCAGAGGTTTCTCAACCCACGTCATACACCTCTGCGTGACAGAGGGTGCAGCTGGGGCAGAAAAAGCAGAGATTTGTGGCTCAAAGTACAGCAAAGCGATGTTACTGGAAAGGACTAAGGACCTAATTTTCATACAAATGTATAGCACGTTTAAATATATTCAGTGATGAAATGTGCTTGTATGTCCCTGGCAGAAGTACAGGCATTTTTCACCAGGACAAAACACTACGCTGACTGCCCTGGCCTCTGTGGCAGAGGCAATTTGGTGCTACACTGATTGTGCCTGGTTACAAACAGCTAGTATTAGTAGAAGCAGACTGGTCATGAAAGGTATTAGGATCCTCAGCACAGTTTTCCCACTTTACTTACAGTGAATCATGAATATTCAAGTCAAATCAAGTTCAAAAGCCAAACCAGGCCCCATGTGTGTTGGATACCCCTGATCTGACTGGAAGAAAAGATCTATTCATCTCATTAAAAAAAACTATTGACAGCTGGCTTCTATCACAGTCTTTGCATGTGATGATAGAAATTAGCCACACCCTTTGGAGGTTTCTGGCACCAGAAAAATCTGGCCACTGCCAGCTCTCTGAGGAAGCCTACACAAAGGGAGTCCAGGCACAGCTCAGGATGGCTCAATGATACAAGTCAGTATTTGTCTGAGCACCCTGAGGACCCTCCTTCTGTGTGTAGGATTGATTCTCAGACGATCGAAGGAAACATGCAATGACTTCCCTTCCCATTGCCATCAGGCCTTGCCCCAGTCGCATCTTCTCCCAACTCTAGGAGCCTTTGCCAACTGGACTTTTCAGTTTGCCTCATTGCTATTATTTTTTATGCTGTGGTGGGTTTTTTTTTGAATATTTGATGTCCTAGTCTAATTTTACTGTGCTATCTACCTCAGTTTTAAAGAGACCTGTTCTGTGAGCAAGAAGAAGAAGACCAAACGGGAAGAAATGTCAGAGAGAAGAATTCAAGAAGAATATAAGAAACTGGGAAATGTTAGGTAAAATGGAGCTGCCTTCCTCAGGAATTTGCCTCTCTAGGCAGGACCATCCTTTCATCTTTCCCTCTATGTTGCCTTTGGCTCATGGAGATTACTCTTGAACTGTCAGCTCTTTCTCCTCCTTTACAGAATAGGAGTAGAACTAAATGCAAAAATGAACTGAAATCAAGTACTTTGTTACAAGTATGCATTTGTTTAGTCATTTATTAAAGGAAATAAGAAGGATTCAGGTTTATACTAGGGTCCAAAGGTTATCTGAGTCAAAGTTTGTCTCTGCCTTCGAAGTAAACCAGTAACAACCCTCCTTCCAGGTTCAGGCATATACTTATTTTGGTGGATAAAAGTCCACTGTTAGCAAAGGCTTTGCAGCAATCTCCCACATGGTGAGATGTCCAACCCTCTCAGTTGCTCATAATCCTTACTTATGGTGGCAAAAAAATCTCTCTTGAAAATATTATTTTGCAAGATATTAAATTTTCAAAAGGGTTGATATTTCATAAAATCCATTCTTCCCCAAAAATTTTTGTGTTCTTCAACCTAAATTTTGACAGATCAACTTGCTGTGATCAACTCTGAATCTAGACTGTTGTTCAGACTGTGCCTAAATATGAAACCATACTTAATTTAAATCTATCCTAAATTAAAACTCAGTGTCCTCAACTCACCTTTAATCATATTTATTCCACCCGCTTAAAATATTTGTACTAATCCACATTGTCATTTGCTCTTATGCTTTCTACACTTTTGAAAAATGCAGTGGAAAATGTTTCCAGTGGAATAGTAACATAAGCTTTACCTTGTTACCACACTTAATCAGATAATAAGACAAATACAAAACAAGCATTTATAAATATTTTCCTTCACGTCTTGCCCATGAATGACTGAATTGCAAACACTGACTGATATTTTTAGCTTATTTTTACTGGGTTTAGATGGCTCTCAGCTGGGTGCCAAATGCAGAATTCTTTAGTTCAAATTAATCTTCCTTTCTACTTTCCATATGTCTTTTACCCTTCTTGTTGAAACCAAATTCTACTTTCTTATTTCTTCTGGAATTTGCTCTCACGTTTTCAGAGAGAGCTTGGATTGCATTCCTAATTTTTGTTTTGTTTTTATTTCTAGCTATCCTGAGATGGTGACTGGATTTTTCTTCATTCTGATGACCTTGCTTTGGTTTACCCGTGAGCCCGGCTTTGTACCAGGATGGTCATCTTTTTTTGAGAAGTAAGTGAAATTCCCTGAACTGCAGCACAGGAATATGGTCTTGCATCTTCTTACTTTCTGCAATAACTTTTGGCCATATAATATCATCAGCCACTTTTAACAAGGTAGCGAAAAATGAAGTCTTTGATTTTTGCTTTTTAAACTACATCTGTTCACATGGTGGCAAATTGTATTCTCTCTCAGTAAGTAGAGTGAGTTAAGTAGAAAAAGTAAAATAAACATATTTCAAATGTAAAAAAATAGGAGGGCCAGATAGTGAAGTTAAAACATTTTAGTGCATTTGTAGAAAAGCTACCACTGGAATAGATCGCAACTATAATTCAAACAAAAACTTTAGGGTTCTTTTTCAATTCTATTTTGAAGATAAATTTTATCAAGAATATGTTCGTTTCAATTAAACATTGCACAGAACAGTAACTGAAGCAAATAATTTTTATTTTAAATAATGTTGAAACATTATATTAAAATTAACTATAAAACAGTTAATATTAAAGAGTAAGTTATTTGAACTTAAATTTTCTTTACGTTTCTGCTACATTCTGCTAATTTTGACAGAGAAACAATTTTTAATACTGGGATTTCCTGAATTTCAAGTTCAAAATACTTTTTCAGATTGAGTTTTAAACATTTAATTTAAAATCAATCTACAGTTCATTTCCAATGAATCACTTAGGCTTGACTTTCCCCAGAATTTCTCAGTGTATCTCGTTTCTAATAAATGCATCATTTTTCTGTACCTCCAAGCTAATAGATTTGTAAACCAAAAGGAATTTCTATCTTTTCACTGGATTGTTAAAAAATTGCCGAGCAGTGATTGAAGTTGCATATTGGAGCCAGTTTAATAACTGGGAAATAAAATCAAATCTGTATCCTTGATATGCAGACATTTTTCTAGTCGATTATTAGTAAGATTCCAGATGTGGAAACACAGAATCTTCGAGGTTGGAAGGGACCTTAAAGATCATCTTGTCCAACCGTCAACCTAACTGACAAAAATAGACACCCACACAACAAACAAGAAGCATCACCATCACTAGACCACACCTCCCAGCACTACATCAACCCGTCTTTTGAACACCTCCAGGGATGGTGCCTCAACCACCTCCCTGGGCAGACTATTCCAATGGCTGATAACCCTTTCAGTGAAAAAAATTTTCCTAATATCCACAACTTCACCTACAACAATCTGCTTGGACCCATGTACCTTGTTTGTAAATGTTTCTGGTTGTGCGTTTTTATCATAACCCCACTGTTCTTTTCCTAGGAAAGGTTACCGGACTGATGCCACTGTCTCTGTATTTCTTGGTTTTCTCCTTTTCCTCATTCCAGCAAAAAAGCCCTGTTTTGGAAAAAGGGAAAAAGGTAAGGAGGATGCAGCAAGAAAGAGATCTGGAACATTTTCCAGTGTTTTAATGATACTTTTCTGTTCTCTGCAAAACTTTCCAAGAAGATATTTTTATTGCGGAAGGTCAGGAATCAGTTTCTTCTCTGATACCAACCATTCCTACATCAAACCTATAGTTTTTTTGTTGCTTCAGCTCATATTGTCTCATCCGGCAGATTATAAACAGACCTTGTATCTGAGGCCACCATCTCTTCCATGTTTTCAGAGTTACAGAAATTTAGGACAGAGTTTTAAGAAAGGTTGAGATGAAGTTCCATATAGAGAACTATAATGCAGGTGTTTGCAAAATTGGCTGAAGATAAGCTCTAGTAAATAACTTGGCCATCACTTATACAGCAGAAATCATTGATCAAGTAAACATAAAAGAAGTCAGTAAAGATCAAACAAAGTTCCAATTTGGGCCAATACTTCTTTCACAGTCTTTCTCATAATAATAATGATTGCTATTTCACATTCCTGTTTGGGTAATACTCAGAAGTATTAATTAGTTTGCTGTGACAGGCTTTCTGCAGACACGTATGAAAATAGAGTCTACATAGAGTTTTGTAGAGATTACAAACATACACAGATATGTTTATTTTTTATAGTGACATATATGCAGCATTTAGAAAAAATGACACACTCTAAATCTTACTTGAAGAAAACACTCAGGCACCTAAAAAATATGCCTTCAGATAAAATCTAGGGACATAAATGCACTTTATCAAGCCTCATGGCCTAATGGAGAGAGAAAATGCTGTTATTTGATAAAATAATTGTATTGTAACTCCATCTTTCTAGTCTACAGATAATTTGCACACACGTATACACAGCAGAGTACACAATCCCTCAAAAAGCTATAGAATGAAACACAGAGGTTTGTAACTACTCACATCAACAGAGCAGCCAAGAGGAAGTCAGGACATTTGGAATTAATATTCTGTATTTTCTGAGGCTGAGCGAACCAGAGAACTAGGTTCTTCACCTCTCTCACAGATAGTTCTCAAGTTAACTTCCATGGATATTACATTATTCCTACTAGTGTGAAAAATGTGAAGATTTCTGCAAAAAGGCCAATGTAATACTGGTCACACATTTGCTTTATTTTGGTATAGGAGATGGTGAAAAATCAACAGACATTAACGCATTGGATCCCATCATTACCTGGAAGGACTTCCAGAAGACCATGCCTTGGGAGATTGTAGTATTGGTTGGAGGAGGTTATGCCTTAGCAGCTGGATGCAAGGTACTGATTTAGATTTATCCTCCTTCCTAAAAAAAAATTATAAACCTGGACTTTTAATCCCTTTGTATGCTCCCAAGGCTGGATTTACATTGTGGAAACTTTTGAGTTTGTGTATAACCTAGTCACGACTCCCTGCATTCAATGGGCAGTTATGTAGCAAAAAAAAAGATGGTTAGGGCTCAAGTCAATTGTGTAAGCATCTGCCATTTCTGATGCTTTAGAATACCTAGATGTTCCTTCAAGGCTGGCAGACACAACACTCAGGGAGACCTCACACTTTCTCAACTAACAGTTAACCAGACAGAGGGGGAACTTCTCAGCTGCCACTGGATGCTCCTCTTTTGGTAAATGGGTTATGCTCCTAGTGCTGGACTGGATAAATCATACTCTAGTCTCTACTGACTGTATCTACACTCAGTATAATTCATGAATACAGATCTAGCTCTCCTATAGACTCCCAAGATGAATTCTACCCAGACTGTGCAATCCTTCATCACCAATTTGCAATACTCCAGTTCACATGCTGAAGAATGAGGGATCAGGCTTGGTGCCTTTTAAATATTATTAACTGCCAAATGTATCTCTCTGTTACTATAGACAACTATTTATCAGGCACTGCAGTGAAATCCAGTTTACTGAACAAAAGGAAACGCAGAAAGCAATGACCTAGACTTTGTTTATTTGCTCGTGGGATTCTTTGATGCAAACTGCCCTGAAGAGAAGAATCTGTTTTACAAGACTACTAAGTATTTAGCCATTCTTGTACTTCTATCTTTTCCTTAGACCTCTGGCCTCTCTACATGGATTGGACGCCAAATGCTCTCCCTGAGCAGCCTTCCCTACTGGGCTGTAACTCTACTGGCCTGCATTTTGGTGTCCCTGGTAACAGAGTTTGTTAGTAATCCAGCAACCATAACCATCTTTCTGCCTATTTTATGCAGCATGGTGAGTAAAAACAAATACATTTTCAGTCTGTTATTTTCCAACAGGCTCGTGGGAATGTTTCAGGACATCAGGGTATTGGCACCCTGATAACACAAAACCCAGCCTCAGTTCCCAAGCTGTTGTCCTGCAGTCTTGGGTTTAGGAAAAACAATAAACTTGGGCAGCCAAAAGTATATTTTAGCACCAAGAAATTTATTCGATACCTCTCTGACAAAGTGAAAATATAGCTGCTGCACTGAGGGTTTCACAGTCTAAGAACAAGAAAAGGTGACGATGCAATCAACAAAACTGGTGAAGTCCACATAAAGCCTGAGATACTCTTATCAATGTTATTTTATATGTGCTGTTCATAAGCTAACAGTCACCCACTCACTACTTGTAAGAAAAGACTGTAGCAGTGAATTTTATATCAGATTTTATCTGGTAAGCATACTATCATCCAGCATGGGAAGCAGAGGTGTTTGTAAGTAAAAAAAAAATATAAATCAGGAGACTAGTGACAGAAGCAGATAAAAGAGATACAAATTTCATTTTATATTGGAATAGCAGTTACAGAAAACTGTCTTATTTCTTTTCTTTTATGTAATGTGAAGCTTTTCTTATCAAGAATGCAAATAATTAATCATGTTTCCCTACTGGAACAATGTTATGGGATTGTCCCAAAGTACATTTTGTCAACAGCTCTGAGGTAATATCACAGAATCACAGAATCCTAGTGGTTGGAAGGGACCTCTGAGATCATCGAGTCCAACCACAAAAAAAACAAAAAACAAAACAAAACAAAAAACCACACCACACCAAACGCCCACCAAAAACAACGCTCCCAACAACTAAACCCCACACTCAACACCTCACCATAAACCAATAACCTTGGGCACTAGAGCATGCCCTGAAGAGCCACGTCTATACGTTTCTTAAATACCTCCAGGGATGGTGACTCCACCACCTCCCTGGGCAGGCTGTTCCAGTGCCTCACCACTGTCTCAGTAAAGTAGTTCTTTCTAATATCTAATCTAAATCTCCCTTGCCGTAACTTCAGACCATTCCCCCTGGTCTTGTCGTTCGTCCTTTGGGAGAAGAGGCCAACACCTGCCTCTCTACACCCTCCTTTCAGGTAGTTGTAGAGGGCAATGAGGTCTCCCCTCAGCCTCCTCTTCTCCAAACTAAACATGCCTAGTTCCCTCAGCCTCTCCTCATAGGACTTGAACATATGAAGATATGCTCAGATGAAAATAAGTAATTATGTTAGTATGCCTTATGAGTTCAGATTTACTTCTGCTCCATGCAGAATGAGACTCTCCTAAAGAGCAATTTAGAGCAGTAACCTACTTTTAGTAGTCTGAACTGCCACCTTAAGATAGTCTCTCTTTTTTGACTGTAAAAGTAACTTGCAGACACTTCCCTTTCCAAAATGAAGCTAGACTTGTGAATACCTTTCCCCCTGACATAAAACTAGACCATGGCAATATTTCACCACCACTGAAGGCTGCAGTGGAAGAACATTTCCTTAGATCACTGTAAAGAATATTCTATCATACTGCCTTCTCTCCATGTGAGTTTGGACCACGAACAACTAGTTTTAACCACTGTTCAGGATGACTTTATACAATGGTCTCAGTACCTTCAGCAACTGAAAGAAATAAGTTATTCATGTCAACCTCTTGGATGAAGACTGAGGTGGTAGTCAGTGTTAAGATCCGAAAGACACAAGACATAATGACATGGGGAACCAGTGGGAAAAAGAGCAAAGGGTGCCTAATAGTCAAAATCTCCACCCTCCCTCAGTGTGAGCTGTTTCAGGAGAAATCCCTGGAGTGTGATCACCTCCAAATTTATAGCATTGCTCTACTCTAAAAAAACAAAAAAACAAAAAAAAAACCAAAAAAAAAAAACCAAAAAAGAATTCCACACTGAAGTTTAGAAACCAGGGAGGTGAGCTTCACAGAACCTTATCTTCACATAAAGCAGACAGAATCTTTTAATCCTAATTGTGAGCAGTGGTTTTTATTGCTTAAGTGAACACCTCTCTCTGTCTCTCCTTCCAGTCAGAAACCCTGCTTATTAATCCTTTATACACCCTGATTCCTGTCACCATGTGTATCTCATTTGCGGTGATGCTACCAGTGGGTAATCCTCCAAATGCCATTGTCTTCAGTTACGGGCACTGCCAGATTAAAGATATGGTGAGTCTTGAGAACGGGTATATCTTCCCATGCTTCATGCAACTTTGAAACCTCGTCCCCACATCCAGCAGCCAATAACAATAATTATATTTGTTCTAATATAAAGTCACATTGATCTGTACTGCTGCTATGCAACTGAGCTGTCATGTTAAGAAAATTCACATATCTGCTGCAGGATACGCACATTTCTCAACTTTATTTTTTATGAATGCAATGGTCTAAAGAGGTATCAAAGAACAGGAGTACACAATCCTTTGCACTGACCTGTTAAGACACAGGAAATAATGAGAAAATGGATTTATCACCTAGCTCCACAGTTAGTCATGTAGTTATTGCGCTGCTATGTGTGGTATAACACCCCATTCTGTTTATGATTGAGAAGTTCAAGTGACAAACTGAGCAGTTTTCCAATGAGCTGCATCAACCTCTGACTATCATTCCTGAATACTCCCACTCTAATACATAACACTGTGGTTTTTTGGCTCTAGAAATCAGTATAGGTAATTTATCACTATATATATATGTCAGTATACATACATACACACAAACCACTGCCTTCTGTTTTCCATGTTAATTGTTTTTGATCAAGTTGTCATTGATCATACTCTGATGCATTTTGCTTTTGTAGGTGAAAGCTGGCCTGGGAGTAAACCTGATTGGTCTGGCTGTGGTCATGGTGGCAATCAACACTTGGGGAATTAGACTCTTCCAGCTGAATACTTTTCCAGAATGGGCAGCAGTTGGTAACATCACTCGCCAAACATAATCTCCAATGAAAAAAAAAAAGTGCAAGACCAAAGCAAATTGGGACAAAATATAAACCTACGTTGCACATATGAAAGGAGAAAATTTGTGTATACATTGAACCAGGATCCATAGCAAAACCATGAAGAAAATCCACAGGGAGGACTGCTTAAGCTTTTCACTTCTGAAAATCAACATGAGTTAAAAAGCAAGATTAGCTTTGCTCTATTGTTGCTTTTTCCTGTGATACTATAACTCTGAAAAAAAAAAAATATTTCCTCCAAATTCTCTGCCTATGGTTCTTTCATGCTCTAAAACAATTATGTAGGACTGGTAAAATAGAGAATATAGGACTCCAATGACAGAAGACGAGCATACATACGCTGGTGTATTCAGTAGTAGGATATTCAGTCCTACCATTGACTCCTACAACGAACAAAGGGTGAGTCTTATTCCCAGACCCAGAGTTTTATAAGCCTACTGCTTTTACAAGCAAATTATAATTCTTTTAGGGTGACTCATCACTGTGTTGGAAAAAAAAACATTTTCCCATCTAACTCATATGGCCTGGACAGAAATACAGCTACCAATTACCAGCTACAGCACTTCAAAGGGAGAATAGAAACCACCAAACAGATAGGAAGGAGAAGTCTCCTGGGAAGGAAAATGTTTTTTTTTTTCCACAGCACTAGTATAAAGTTTCCAATATTGCAGTACTTGCAGTCTCTACTTTGGAAGGAAGAGATTCAGAAACAGATCGACAGTTTTGTTCAATGCCTTCTTTCATTATCATTGTACTGCAACGGGTGCTTTTTCAGCAGGAGAAGCTGTGACCAGCAAAACCTTACCAAGCCAACAGACCCAGTGCTCTCCTCTCTCTTTGGCTGCTGTTTAGATAGTTACACAGTTATGATTCCCTTGAGAAAAAAAAGTACAATCTCATCCAAGACGGCACTTGGCACTGCTCCATAAGTAAGAAGGGAGAGGGCTGAAGTGGAGTGGTGCTGGTGTATCTCCTCATTGTGTACATTCGCTTAAACATCACACCCACCTGGTCTCTAGCAGCCCAGAGAACAGGAAATTCAAATGTAGGAAACTGTGACATAGAGCAGGTAACCACCAAACCAAAAGGCTGATCTCTTCATCATCTGCAAAGTGAATTCCCTGTTTTTCTGACCGGATCCCTGTGATACTCAATAAACCTCTTGTATTATGTCCTGTTTTTAATCATTTCTTTAATGTCAATGCATTTAAACTGTATATTAGGATGATTGGATCTCATGTAATCCCACTCTTTATATATATATATACATTTTAATGATTTTTTTATGCTTTCCACTTATAATCTAGGCTCTCTAGATGTTAGTGTGACTGTCTATTCTGCAAAAAAAAAAAAAAAGCCAATAAAATAAATTATTCACTACTGCATATTCTGGTGCTCTATGAGAATATAAATAGGATCTATTTCACCTCATAACCCGCCAAGCCCTTAGACAAGGAGCCTTGAGACAGCAGGAGGTGTTGGTTTACTGCTTCTGTCAAAACAGAGGGATCCCACAGACTTGCCTCGGAAATAAACAGATACAATAAGAGGTCACAGGTTAGCAGAGGGGGAACAAAATGGGAAAAATCACAAGAGCATGTTTTAGCCCTTGTACCAAAAGCAGGAGGCAGCATCCTTTAGCAAAACAATTCATATTCATAGTCATTCCTGTAAATTTGGTTTGAAAAACAAAGTGTTTCTGGGGATCAATGTATCCCCATGCCCTCCTAATCCATGAAACAGGACCTCAACCTCACTTTTTCAACTCTTCTCACCTCCCCAGTTCCTGTGGTCTCCCTGTCCTGAGCTTGCTGCTCTGCGGCACCCCAGCACACAAACCTCATGCCTTCCTCTGGGTTCCAGATGCTCCACACCACTCCAGCTCCCCTCCCTGGGTCTCTTACTGCTTCCCAGCAAGCGGCTGTTGCTGGGCACAGATCCTGATGTGGTGCTCAAATCTGGCGCCCCGGTCTCCCTCCCAGCACGAGCTGCAGTCCCCCAGTAAGCTGCACCTAGTACTGAAGCAGGAGAGGGAGGGCTGCAACACCTGCCCACCATGGGCAACTTTCTCCAGGAACAAGCAATTCAGCGGGTGGTGCTGCCCACAGTACCAAGGGTCCTGTCCTCACGCACAACAAGCATGACATCTCTTTGTTTACAGTCCTCAAAGTTAGTTTGACTCATTCTCCCCCCGCCAAGAAACTCTCTTTCTGGCTTGCTCTCTTCCCAAGGCTTTAGCTGCTCTGAGCCTTTTACGGTGTACTCATCTTCTAATCCTTTTCACTTCACGCTTCATCCAGCACCATCTTCAAATTGCCTAGCTGCTCAGCAACAAATCACTCTCCACCCTCCTAATACTCATTTCTCAGCTCAGCTCCCATCAGGCCTTGCTATCCCACACCTTTCCCAGGGGATGTGAACTCGGGATATTCTCATTTGCAAGAGAGACGAGCTGCTGGCACACCAGGCACCTTTAGGGAGACCTAGGATTACTCACAAATCAAATAGGGTGGCCACCAATAGCACTAGGTAAATGGAAATTGCCTGGTGCTGCGTTGCACATCCCAAGCAATAGTTCCTCAGGAACATTTCTATCAGTACGCCTCTGGCATAGTTTTCTTATCACCAGATTAGTGCAGAGAAATTAGGGGTGGACTCACACAAGGAATTTCCTCAGCAGCCTTCCCTTCTGTTTCGGTGTTCTCAGGACACCGATGCTGGCACTTATCACTGCCATGTCCCACCAGGCATTTTCAGGAAGGCAATGTGCTGTACTGGCCCCTTTTTCCATATCAGATCAGTCAGTGCATGCATCACAGCTAGGTTCTGTCCTTAGACATTCATGCATGGTACCCTTCATTTCACTGAAGACATAAGAAAGTACCTGAAAAAGTATTTACTGGTAGAATCTGAATGTCACAAAGGAAACGGGAAAATAGCAGCAGATGAACTATAGGCTTAGGGCTGGGAAGCTACATGGCTCATAAGGTGACAGCAATGGGTGCTGATTGCTCCTTTTTAAAAAAAATAAAATAATATAAATAAATGGCAAGGAGAAAGAAAAGTGGGAAATTTTCACTGGTAATTTATAGCATACTGTCACTCAACTTCACATTTGGCTATTGGCAGAGACAATCTGAAGTCTTTTCTTCAGAGGGGAGATAAGCCTGATTTCAAATTAAGTGATTTCCAGATGCTTTGAACATTCAGCACATCTATCAAGTCCTAAAAACAGAAGTTTTACTTTCAGACCAGAATTTAAGATTCTTATCCAAAAAGTATAATCACATTAACTAGTAGTAGTATACTATTTTATCTTACAGTTTTATATTACTTTTTACTAGAATCCTATTAAAGTTACATACATATTTTTTCACAGAGATATAAAACCTGAATAATTTCATGGAAGTCAACTGAGGTGATTTATACTGAGCATTCTGCAGCTTCATTCTGCAGCTGACAGAGTAATGTTTTATTTCTAAGGAAAAAAAGCAGAGCAGGATAGCTGTACTTAGTACTTGTACAGGGTTTGTTCAATACCCTCTGGTTTGCAGAAAATTTGAGTAACAGAATTTAGAACATGTCCTTTTTTTTTTGTTTGTTTTTCTTTCCATACACTGATTAGTATCTTACTACTTAGGTTGCACCTTTGGACCGAAAGGTGCAATTGAGAGAGAAGGGCTCTAATCAGTTTGATAAAAGGTTGCAGAATCTGTTTTCACACAGAAAGCTGAAAGTGTGTTCCACTCCAGCATTTGGGTTCACATGGCAGGAAGGTTACTTGTGTAGTTATGGTTTGAGTCTGTCATTCACAGGAATGAGGTATTCAGGTATTTTCCAGATGTATTAAAGACTAAAGCCAGGATCAATTTTGGTGTGAAAATCTATTCCAAATGCAACTTAAGAAATTTGGTTTATTTTTCAATAGAGTAAATTTGACCTTCTGCGATTAATGTATGTTTCAGGTGAAAAGCAAATAACCTCCACAGCCATTTTATCTCAGTACAAATTCAATAAGAATGACCTTGGCTCGGGACTTTGTAAAGTAAAGGTTAGCCTATACCACCAAGAAACATAACAAATAGAACTAAATATCTCTTTCTCATCCCTCTGAGGCAGAAATAAAGAGCTGTACAGGAAATTTCTCTATGGAGTTTACCAGTAACATATGACTCTGATACCCACCATCACTTCCCAATATTGAAAAGAATTCTGCATCACAGCCAAAGGTTATTGGATTTTACACACACGTACCAATTCACAACCATGTTTCTGCAAACACATATATAACCTAGACTTATGAAATCAACTCCCTATTAACTCTGAAAATTCCTGTTTCTTCCTTTGCAACACTTCTATTTTACCAGTAATCTAAGGGCCATCTGTAATCTGGGCTGACAGTAGTGCGGGCCCTTTAAAGCACATTTCCAGATGCTCAGTATGTACAACAAATCTGTCCAAGAAAACACGCACAGAGGAGTTGTAACAGCTGTTGGTGCACACAGCTCCTAGCATCACAAGGCAAAGGAGAACCACAAAGGAGAACCACGGTGGAAAAATTCTGCTTTAGCAAATATTTTTTTTTTAAGTGATACCACAACTCCCTGTGGTATCACCACTGAGAAATATCCTGCACTACCAGATCACCACTACGTTACTTTAATCATCAGAAATCACTGTGAAAAAGGGACACTCTACATTAAGAGAAGTCATGTATCTTTACCTGAAATCCAGAATAAAAGTTTCTGATGATGCAGATGATGTTACCTAATGCAAAAACATAAGGAAAAATAGTTGGCTTCATTAAACTTTTCCCTGTCCTTGAGTAACTCCTCTCTAGTATAACCCATTTTTACAGAAGGTGGCTAGAGGTACTAGTGATTTAACTAACGCAGATGGGGTTAGGAAAGCCAATCCCAGGGCCCTGAGTGCCTTAATGACCCTGGCCAGCCTCACCTGGGAAGCCTACAGAGGCTACTCTTGTTACAAAATCAGGAGCCAGAGACCCCTATTGGCATACCAGCTGCTGAAGGAAATCTAAAGAAATGCTGAGGGAGCTGGTCAACGTCCTTGTGAGGCCATTCTGTGGTGGTTTTGAAAGTTTATGGTGACCCAGTGAAGCCCCTGAGGACTGGAAGAAAGCAAATGTCACTCCTATCTTCAAGAAGGAAGATTTGGGGGACTACAAGCCAGTCAGTCACATCGATCCTTGGGAAGGTGATGGAGCTGTTTCCAAAAATATGAAAGACAAGTGATTTAGAGTAATCAGCATCAATTAATGAAGGATGCCTTACCAGCCTGGCACTTGTACTAGCTTGGTAGATGAGGGGAGAGCAATACATGTTGTTTGGCAAGGTTTTTAACATGGCCTTAAAAGGCTGTGGTCAGCACCACAAAGTCCAGCTGAAGGCCAGTCTCTAGTGGCATGCTCCAGGGAAAAATACCAGAGCCAATATTGAATTATTGAACACTGGCATATTTATTAATGGCCTGGACAACAGAACAGAGTGCAACCTTAGCAAGTTCATAGACAATACGGAATTGGGAGGAGTGGTTGATGCACAAGATGGTTGTAGTGTCACTCAGAAGAACCTTCACAGGCAAGAGAAATGGACCAATATGTATGTCGTGAACATATCAACAGAGGGAGATGCGAAGCCTTGTATTATGAGAGGAATAATCCCACACCCCAGTACAAACTGGAGCCAACTAGCTGGAAAGCAGCTTTGTAGAAAAGGACCTGGGGGTCCTGGTAGGAAAGCTGAATATGAGTCAGCAATGTTCATAGCCCTGGTGAAACACACATAAACTATGTCCAGTTCTGGGCTCCCCAGTACAAGAGACACATGGGCATACCGGAGCAAGTCCTACCCAAGGGCCACAAAGATCAAGGGATGAAGCACACATCATGAGACAAGGGACTGTAGTTCTGTGACATAAAATGCCACCACTGAGCATTCATGTTAGTGAAGCTCTGTAACTAAATCAGCTGAACACTGGTGCCCATTAAGCTAATAATTAGCTTTGCTATCTAGCATTTCCTACATTTTCAGTATTAACTCTTTCCTGTATTCAGTGGAAGATAGTCAAGAGCACTAGGGCAGCATTTTTCATCACAAGTTTAAGTCTCAATCCAGAGTAAACATTTAAGAAGTCTGTTAGTAGCTCACAAATTCCTTTCCTTCCATTTTGCCTTGAACTGTCAGCTCCTAAGACATGTCTCAGAAAAATCAATAAATGCAGTTATATCAATTTTCATGTATCTTAAGAGCTATTACCAAAGGAAGGAAGACTGCATATTTTAGCTGGCAATTACAGGTTATCCACACAGGCATTTTGAACACACAGAAATTCACAGTCCCCACGTTAAGTGGAAAACTTGCTTCTAGGTATCTTGAAGGTGCATCCATCCTTTGCAACCTATGACACCACTGCATCCAAAGCCCTCTGAGACCTCAGGTGCAAGATCTGCACGAGGCAGTCATCATCCACGTGTACTTTCTGCCTCCGAAATACAAGGGTTAATCTTTAGTATCATCTAGGATTGCCTCAGGCTGAATCAGGTAGGTAAAACTTGTTACACAGTAGTTGCAAATTTGACAAGAATTGTGTTACAATATTATCCAGCTCCCCAGATTACTATGTGGGACAAAAATGACAGCTTGAGCTAAAATGGAAAGTGTTTCAAACAGTGCAAAGCACTTCAGAAGTCCTGTCTTTAATATTAATGAATACATATTGCTTCCACAGCACTACAGCTCCAGCTGTTTCCCTTCATAATCCGATAGGAAAAAAGAATCCTAACATCAACTTGGAATGCTCAGCTGAAAGTTTCAGCTCCAAATTACACATGTAGAGTAACAGAAGCCTGTTTGGCAACAGATTTTGAATATTATTTCCATTCTTGTCTTTCTGTAATGAAAGGGAAGAACATAAAGCATGTTTGAAGAAATAAATAATCCAGTCTTAAACGCTAACATAATTTTATATGACAAGCAAAGACATATGAATGGGTTAGAGCCAGTATTTTTCAATATTCTGCTCAAGCATAGAAAAGAGAAGGGGAAAGAAAAAACAACAAAGAGAAGCTGGGGGAAACCAAGTTCATCACATTCACAAACACATTAGAACAGCTGTGCAGTGCTGTCCCACTCTATGGGAAAGTTTTTCTCCGTGGAAGACAGTTTCTTTGGTCTGGTCAGAAGTCTGTGAAAGCCAAACTACTATAACTAAACATGGCTGTACTTTATTTGTGAATTCCCTTCACCAAGCACCTTACAGAGTTGATAGGACTCTTCTATTTTACTGAAGAAAAATTAAATTATTTTTATTTAATAGATTGTTGAATTAATAAAACTTACATCTATTCAAATTACTGCAATATTTTCTTCAGAATTTACAACAGAATTTGTGCAAAACTACGGTTTCCAAATGCGGAATTTGCTTTCCATTCAAATAGAAGAGGGTAGTACAACAATATGATCTATATTTTCTCACACATCAGGGTTTTTAGTGGCAACTACGGGTGAAGAAACTATACCAGACACACAACAATGGAGACAGCAGATATATGGTTCTAATCCTAAGAAAATACATGGTAGACAACTGAACCAAATGCAAAGACAATGGGCTGAAGACCATACACAGGTATGAGGAAGTACTGGGAATACCACAGTCACAGAACTGTAAGGGTTGGAAGGGACCTTCAGAGACCATCTAGTCCAACGCCCTGCCAAAACAGGATCACCTACAGCAGGCTGGACAAGAACACATTCAGGCAGGTTTTTAATATCTCCAGAAAAGAGACTCCAAAACCTCTCTGGGCAGCCTGTTCCAGTGCTCTGTCACCCTCAAAGTAAAGAAGTTTTCTCTTGTGTTCAGATGGAATTTCCTGCGTTCCGGCTTTTGTCCGTTGCCTCTTGTCCTGTTGCTGGACACCACTGAAAAGAGTCTGACCCCATCCTCTTGGCACCTGCCCTCTAGATATTTGTAAGCATTGATGAGATCCCCTCTCAGTCTTCTCTTCTCCAAGTTAAATAGACCCAAGTGTCAGCCTTTCCTCACAAGAAAGGTGCTCCAGTCCCTTGATCATCTTCGTAGCCCTCTGCTGAACTCTCCAATAGTTCCTTGTCTTTCCTGAACTGCGGAGCCCAGAACTGGATGCAGTACTCTAGATGTGGCTTTAGCAGGGCAGAGTTGAGGGGTAGGATGACCTCCCTTGACCTGGTGACCAAGCTCTTTGATAGACATATTTGATAGAAATACTGAGCTCTAGTCCTTTGTTCCACACCAAGAGGCAGTAAAAAAGCATACTTAGAACAGTTACAGAAACTGGACTATTAAGTATATAAAGTGAAGGGTTTGGAGTCACAATGTAACTGCTGACCTCCACATGCCCCTGTTACCACTTATGGAAGATAATTCTTCTCTCTTCCATCCTCCCCATCACTCCAGAGACCTCCTCAAGCAACCAAGCAGAACGGAAAGAGGGGGAAGAGATAATAAAAGAAAAAATGAATTTGAAATTTTGGTTAAAGTTGATGGCTTTTTACACTTTTTGAAATCAACCACCTTTGTGCAAAGTCTTCACTGCTGTAAGCAATCACTTAACATAACGGAAAAAGCAGGAGCTCCCTCCCTCCCTCACTCCCCCGGTTCAGTTTGACAAATGAACTTTCCTCATCTCCAATAATGGATTGCAGATCTTAAGGACAGTGAAGTACTGCTGCTCACAAGAAATGACAAGAAAGTTACTTCTTGATGCATTTAATTTCTTTTGGGATGTTATAAGAACTAGGGTATTACAAAGTATGAGGTACGCATAGTAACAGGACTAATAGGACTCCAGTTAGGTCAGGTAAAAATGGGTTACAAAATATTAGGAAAAGTAATAACAAAAAATACAAACAATCTTATCCAGTCATGTATCAGCTGCAAATCCTGATTCTTAGCCCCTTGAAAATCAGTCCCAGGAGAAGTTCACGGCTGCTCTTTCAACAGAAGGACATTCCATTTCTAGGAGACTAAAAGTGGAGGAACCTCCCATGCCAACCCTCTACTTGATCTTTGTTGCCTGAAAGGTAAATTGCATCCTTGATGCATGCACAGAGGTGACCTGGATGACATTGTTCTCTTAGGACTTGTCGCTGGGAGGTTTCTTCTTAGCTTCCACATCCTTCTTAAAATCTTCAAGCTTCTTTGCAATGTTAGGAATCTTTAAAGACAAAAAGCGAAAAACAAACAAACACACATAAATTAAGAAAAAATCCTGAGTTACACGAGCCTCAGCAGGAAAGACAATACCATAAACCCAGCAAGAATTCTATGAAGTTTAAAGTGATTTGCAAAAGACAGTTGCTTCCAGGATCTGTTACCTTGCACAGAGGTTAAAAACAAAGCAACATTAAGCAAACAGCAGATGAAAGCACCTCACAAGAGGCTTCAGAAAATATTTTCGATTGTTAAGACTAAAAGTCAGCCAGAGGTGATGAGAACAGGAGGGAGGAAAAAAAGATCGCTTCACAGGAAATTCAGTAAGACAAGTCTGACTTCCTCACTGAAAGGGGACAAACTGCCAAAGAATAAGCTGATTTAAACACTGATGCACAGACTTTAATAATGACTTTGGGAGGGGAAATTAGATTGCACTATACTGGTCACAAACCAAGAGAAAAGAGATGCTCGAGAGTAGCAAATACACTCAAGAAATTTATGAAGAAATACTTCTCCTGGTCCTTCTTGTGGGAATCAAAATTCCCCACAGGGGAATTCTACTGCATTGCAAATTGGCAACCTTTTGCTGTTTCACACTTGAATGAAAATTCAATTTACCGCCTGTGAACTTCAGAACTTCAGCTTTCTCTTGCAAATAAAAGCATTTTGATAAAGCAACCCAACAGTAAATTTTGACAACTTAAAAAAAAAAGAAAAGAAGCAACTTTTATGGGCAGGGAATATGTTGTCTTATGACTCTAGCTAAAACTAGGAATGGAATCGACAACATAGAATTTGACAAGCTAACTGATTAAAATTAAACTAAAGCAAAATTCCCACTGGCAGTTGTGAAAAAAATCATGGGCTTTTACTTCATATTTAACCTGACCACAGAGCAGAAGGAAAGTTAATCCAAACTGATTTTCTCATTCCCAACTCTTCTCATTAGATGGTTTGAGGCTGATAGCACAGGTAATATTATAAGTTTTTCTCTTACCTTCCCTTTCAAAGCTAAGCTCTGAGCAAACAAAATTAAAAGCCCAGCCTGTAATGCACCTGACATTTAAGCTAAACCAAGAGAAGTCCATTGTTGTCAGCAGAATCCTCCATGTACTTATAACAGCTGCAGAATTAGGACCTCACTATAACAAGTTTATCATAGATGTCATCTAAAACAAATCATCTTCCATACCAGCAATAAAATTACCATGTTTATCCTGGAAGTCAGTGTTACATTCCCAGGGAACAATTTCCTGCAAATCAAAAGCTCAAGTCCCCCTCTTGTGGCAATACTTTACTAGTGCTGCCAGAAAAGCACTACACCCTGCTTACAATACATATCGATACACCCAAATATGTTCTTATGACTACATTTTCATAACAAGGCAAAATATATATTTGAAAGAAAAAGCAGCCCTTTATTACTCTTACTGGAGTGACTGGACAGGAAGCATCACAGAAGTTTGCACATGAGCAAGGAGCAAAAAATAAGAACTCTGCAAGCAAGATGGCTTCAATACTGAAGCAAAACATTAATGTCACCAGAGTTTTGAGCATCAGCAGCCTTTTCTTTTTTTTTTTTAAACTAGGATAATATAGTAAGAAAAGAAAAAAAATACGTTAAATTTCATTGACTCCTCTAGCCTGTAAATAGCTAAGCTCTTACAAAGGATTCTACTGATTCTGCAGAAATACAAAGAGCTTGAATTGAATGCTCATCTCTAAATCTTCTATTCTAACTCTCACAGTGAAAAAAAAATCTCTATTCACTGTGAGAAACGAGGAGAGAAAGTTCATTTTCTTTTCTCACTGTGAGAAAGAAGGAAAGAAAAATTGTTTGTAGTAGTAGTAGGTACTGAATATTCCAAAAAAGCTGGCAAAACTTATTTTCATTACTGGTACTGGTACAGGAGACAGACCTTAGAGATGCTCTGAAGGATTTTTAAATAATGAACACATGTACTGAGCGGAGAACACTGTAAGAGTCAGGAAAACTATTTCTGTGTTAGTACAATCTGTGAGCAGCTGCTAAACCTTTTCTGTTTCTCCTGTCTCTACCTATGTAGATGCCTCTTTACCGTACCTGTGCTCTAGGGCCCAAACACCAGCTAAGGCTCTAAGCATTACTCTTATTAGAGAGGAGATGCCAAAGAGCTAGATGTTTTGGTTCTATTTACATTCTAGTCCATCTGTAACTGAAGTCAATACAATCTTCATTCTGTTTAAATAAAATAAACCATCAAAATCAAGACTGATTCAGTTCCGATTGAAGGAAAACAGCTTTTTATTTTCAGTTCCGAGTAAGTTTAACTCTGAGAATACAAGGATACTCACATCATAGTTCTGAGCCAGATACATCCCAACCACATTGCCAAGAGTAAAACCAAGCTAAAAAGGAAGAAAGGGAGAAATAGTTAACATCCTTCCATCAAAAGCATATTGGTTAAAAAAAAAAAAAAAAAAAAAAAAAAAAAAAAAAAAAAGGAATTTTGCAAGTCATGTAAAGACTAAAGAGTTTCAATTCCACCCCTCCACTCTTACTTAATTTCTCACCTTTCAGAACAGACACACTGATTGCAAAAAGATCGCAGTCTCACCATAAAAAGGTTTAAGATTAGAGCTCCTCCATCAAATTTAACTGACGTAAACCTGCTACTTCTCTTCTGCAGCAACTAACAACTGTGCACCTTCCAGACCCTGTGACCCCAAGAAATTAGTCTTCAGCCAAATCCACTCTGATCTAGGGGCTCCTCTAAGGCAGGAAAGCCCCGTTGGTTGGAAACAGGGCACAAACTCTTTTGGCAACTGTGCAAACTCATAGTTGCTGAAGGGTGTTTGTGCAGGAGAAGGAGCGAGAAGGAGAGCGAGGGCAAAACAGAAGCCAGTTCCTTGCCCAGACCCTGCTGCCAGCTGAGGAAAATCCGTAAGCATAACAACACTTCTTGAGTGAAAGAAATTCCCCTCTTCAAAGACAGGTGATGAGATTTTCATTCAGCAACTCCCCAAGATTTTATTTGTATTGTTACATTTCATAATACGTACATCCTACACTATGAGGGCTCATTTGACTATTTTGGAAGGGAACACTACTAATATTGTGCCTTCAGTCATTGTCAATAGACAATTCCCTCAATATGACAGCTCATGCCAATTCTATTTAAGAAATTTGCTATTACTTATGGTCACTGTTGTTAAAATAAGGATATTTTAGGAAAAATAGAACCACTGTCCACAATAACAACTTTGCCATCAGATACTGACTAGACATCTTTTCCATGCCCAAAGTAGGATACCACAGAGCTCACCCCCTCAGAGGAGGGCAACGATGCTGGTGAAGGGCCTGGAGCATCAATCTTATTAAGAGCAGTTGAAGGAGCTGGGATTATTTAGTTTGAGGAAGAGGAGGCTGAGGGGAGACCTCATCACCCTCTACAACTACTTGAAAGGACACTGTAGAGAGGGTTGGTGCTGGTCTCTTCTCACAGGTAATTAGTGACAGAACGAGAGGGAATGGCTTCAAGCTCCAACAGGGTAGGTTTAGACTGAACATTAGGAAAGAATTTTTCACCGAAAGAGTGATAGGGCATTGGAACAGGCTGCCCAGAGAGGTGGTGGAGTCACCATCCCTGGCTGTGTTTAAGGGCCGTTTAGATGCAGTGCTAAGGGACATGGTGTAGGGGAGGACTTTGTAGAGTAGGATCGATGGTTGGACTCGATGATCCCAAGGGTCTTTTCCAACCTAAATCATTCTATGATTCTATGATCTTTCCAGTGATTCAGACTCCACTAGAGAAAAACTAGTTATAGAAAACTAAAATTGGCTGAAAACTGCCAAATGAACCATGAATGCAAGTTACTTCAGTATTTCCTTAAACAGATTTTTGGTATTATTCTTTGTTCATTATTACATTTTAAGGAACCTAGCTTTAATAATTTAAGAAACCATAGAGTTCTGTTGCGTGTACTGCACTGGTTATCATTTGCTTTTGCAGATTGAATTATAAGTTACAGAAGTACTCTAGGAGATATTAATAAATATGGCACTGATGTAAACCAGACCTGATACCTTTCAATGCAGAGCATCATTCTAGCAAAGGAGAATTTCCTTTATCTTTAGCACTGACTGAGAACTCACCTGAAAACACAAACCCAGTTCTTGTTTATTATTTTTTAGGCTTTACCATAGAACATTTCCAAAGATGGGACAACTATCGTATTCTGCTGTGTGATAAGACTTATTCAGTACAGATAGTACTGACATCTGTACTCCTTTCTTGAAAGGTCTAGGACTGCATTCAGGAGCAATCCACCCAGTTACATTTACTTTTAGAGTTGAAAATTCAAGCAGAGGGAAACATTTCATCATTTAGTTTTCAATTATGTGGCTAGCAAAACACATAGTCAATTAAAACGTGCATGTTAGCTAAGAATAACAGAGCTGATGAGAGTTCAGGGTCTTCCAATTTCTACCCAGCATTTCAAGTTGCATTTTAAACAAGTGTTTATTTTATGCTTAACTCTAGACAGCAAAAATATATGGTTTGCAAGATTATCCCTTTATCTCCTTGTTACAGTCCTAACAAGGGAGAGCAAGAGACAAACACCCAAACTACACCCATAAAGGGAAGAAACCCAGAATTAGTATATCTTTTTTTTCTAACTGTCAGGGGCTAATCAAGAAGTCATAATTAATAAGACGTTTTCATCAGCAACTGAAATGAAAAAAACATTAGCATCAAGCAGTAGAGTTGATAAACACAGAAATTTTGAGAGTGGTTAATAGTATTTACTGAGAGTTTTCAGTGGAGTGGAGAGAGGCAATAAAAGCTAAAGAAATGACTGTGACTCTTATACTTGATATTGAATTTTATTTTGAAGTTATGAAATAGGCCTTACTTATTCATTTCATAAAAACACTCCCCCACTCTCCTAGCTTAAAATAGGCCATCTCTTCTTGCTCTATATCAACACTTGGCATGAAACTTATTAGTCAGCTAAATTACTTTTCCCCCAATAAAAGATGAAAGAATATCCCTTACTGTTTGTACTTACAGGGACATATCTGAACACAACTAAAACCCTAGAGTATCCCTCACATTGCCAGAATGAAAAACGGGAGGGCTATTTCTATGCTTTGCTACACCAGAAACCAATATCTTGTTTGGTCAGGTGATTTATTTCCACATTTGAAAGTAAAAACACCAGCATCCCTTAAGTATTTAATGAATAATAGCCAGGCACCTAACTTCAGACACCCTGAGGGGTTTAGGGGAACATGCAGAAAGAAATATTAAAATGAGAAAGGTACAAAAACGTTTAGTGTATTAATTCAGCTGTCTTTAAGGGGATTTAATAAAAGGCAGTAACGAAACACGACCCCTTGCCTTTACGCCTATATATAAGAGTCTGTTGCTGCAGGTGGGGGATTTTAAAAGGCGAGCAAAACGGCAAGGACGGAAGCCCTCTGCTCTGCCGGGAGGAGGGAGGTAGATATGCTAACGCAAAGAAATTTGAGCGGCAGGAAGACATCGCCGTGAGCCAGCGAAATCTGCTGAATCCCCAAGGCAAGGGGTCGACTTGGGAACGAAAAATGAAAAAACCAACCAACCAAAAAAGAAAACCAACCACGCATAAAAAAACAAAAACCACCGTTAGGAACTTCAATTTCAGAGCAGTTTTAAGGCCCCGTTCTGAGGGTCGCAGGGACAAACAGGGCCCCACACCGGGCTGGACAAGCCGCGAAGCGACTCACAGGCCCGGGGCGGGTCTGGGCGAGTGGGAGAAGGAACAAGGCCTGAAGCCGCACCCACAAGGATGCTGCGCTGCGGAGAGCCAAAACCGGGCGCAGCCGCCCTTTTTAAGCGCCTTCATGGCCGAGGAGGGCGAGTGGCGCCACGGGGAGGGAGCACCCAGCGGGGGGCTGAGGGGAGAGGCCTCCGCTAGCTCCTCTAGTAGGGGAAGGCCGCCCGCCCGCCGAGCCCCCCCGGAGCCACCCGCGGGGTGCGGGCGGTGACCGCACACAGAGACTTTCCGCCCTTGGCCGAGGAGCGGCCTCCGCCCGCCTTGCTCCGCCCCGCCCCGCCGCGAAATGGCGGCGCCGCCGCCGCCCCACGGAGACTTACCAAGAACTGCAGCATGGCGCCCGCCGGCTTTCCTCCTTTCCTCCCTTCCTCCCTCCCTGCCTGCCTGCCTGCCTGCCGGAGAAGTCAGGAGGGCGGGCGGTGGCTTCTCTTCCGGGTGCCGGCCGGCCCGCCCTCGCCACCGCCCCCGCGGGGAGGAGGGGTGGGCCCAGCGCCGCCCGCCCGCGCCGCTTTGGGCGGCCCCAGCGACCTGTGTCCCGTCAGGCTCCGTGCCCGGGAACCCCCCCGGAGAGACAGGCCTGGGGCGGCCGCTCCCGCCCGGCCTCTGGGGCTAAGATGGGCGGCGGGCCACCTTCTGATGCCTCCCTCCCCCTGCGGCGGGCCACCTTCTGGTGCCTCCCTCCCCCTGCCGCTCCTGAGGGGGAGGTGTTAAATGAGAGTTTGAGTTTTTATAGGAGTGATTCCACGCTGGGGCCTTCAAGGAAGGGTCAGGGGAACCAGGCATCTAGATGTGGGCAAAATCCTGCGTCATCTGGGTGCCCCTTGCCTCAGTGCTTGGGAAATCAATGCTGGAGAAGGCCGAAGGAAAAGTTTTCCTTCCTTTTTGCCTCCCCTTCTCTGCTCAGCGCTCTCTGGACCACATCTAGGGTACCCGTGGCCTGGTTTGGAGCCCCAGTGTAGGAAAGAGTTGGACAAACTGGAGGAAGCTGAGCAGAGGGCCCCGGGGCTGACCAGGGCTGCAGACCTCCCTGTGAAGAGAGGCTGAAGAAGCAGGACTTGTTCAGCAGTGCCAGGGGGGACCTAACAGCCACCCCCCAGAACCTACCAGGGGGACTGGTCAGGTGGAGCCAGGGTCTTCATAGCTGTGCACGATGGGAGACAGCAGGGCAAGGTGAAATGAGAGGTCTGGGCTGTATTTAAGGACACAAATGGTTTTGTCCCTTACGAGAGGCAGATGGTCCACAGAGAGTGTGCCATCTCCATCTTCAGAGCTTTTCGAGGCCCAGCTGGCTTAAACCCCAAGCAACCCATTCTAAGCTCAGATCTGACCCTGCCTTGAGTAGGAGGTTGGACTAGGGACTTTCTAGGTCCTCCTTCCACTTGAATCCTCCCGTGGTCCCACATGAGCTTTCAAAAATACTGCATTCCCCTTTTCCCCTTTTTCTTTCTTTTTTTTTTCTTTTTTTTTGCTTTTACTAGCACAATTAGAAAATGAAGAGTAGTTGTCCTTTGTGAAACACTGGGTTTAGTTTCTCTTAATGGCTACACTTAAATCATTGAGAATCAGGCAGTAAATATCAGTTAGGGAGGTTTCTCCTGCTGACAGTCTGTAAGAGATTGCAGATTTTATTGCAGTGTATTACAAATCTCTTTTTTCACATGCCATTTCAGATCAAAAAAAAACAACAACTGGCTATTGTGGAACTATTAGGCAACTCTACCCTGAAACCAAGTTAACTCAAACTAAGCCTCCATTCCCAGAAAGCTCAGATGCTCCATCTAATAGAAAACATATAGCTTCCTGACTTTCTGGACCAGGTACCTTGGTGAGGTAAAGAAATGCCTTCTACTCATTTTAGGAAGGGAAGCACGAAAGGATACTAAGTAACATTGGTTCTGGTCCTGGTGATACTGTAGTAAGGAGCTGGACTTGAGAAAACTTTCTCCTGAATTTCAGGCTGTCCCAAAGCTGCTGCATTGTGCTTCCCTCTCTGGGCCAGAGGAAATGGCATGCAAAGGTTTGGGTGGATGTGGCACAAGAGCCAGTGGTGGCATTCCTCGCCTTCTGGAGTGGTGCTCGCAGGAATGTTGGAAATGAGCTTGGTTCTGAAAATAGAAAGAAATCACCTGGTATTTTCCTAATGCTGAGGCATTCAACACATGTGCAGAATCGGAGTGCTGAGATAATATTAGAGCACATCAGAAATCAGAAGGAAGAAACAAAGCTTTAAGTAATAGTAATGCCTCCACGGTATCACCACGGGGAGATACGGCTTTTCCTGTTTTCTGCTCATTGAAAATGTTGTTATTGTGCTTAGACTATAATGAGTGCGACATCTGGTAGACAGTCTTGGCTCAACAGTCCTGCACGCGGTTGTTTTCCTACATGCCATGAATTTCCTCTGTGACATTTAATGGGCAGCCAAAAATCATTTTTTCCTTTAAAGTAAATCCATTCCATTTACGTCAGTCAACACTGAGTCATTTTGAGTTAGAGACTGTAGAGGGTGGGTATAGTGGATGGCATTTGTTATTGGAAAGAAGAGCTATAAATGACAGCTATAAATGCAACTATCATGCTTTTTATAGCTGGGAAAACAAAACAAAACAAAACAACCCTTCTTTTTTTGAACTCTTTCAAATATGCCTTCATCTCGGACCAGAGAGTCTCATAAGCAGGCAGCACTTACTCCAGCCTGGGCATTGGCTGTAACTTGGTTGGAGTGCTTTTATTTGATCTTGGAGAAGAGAAGGAATCAGGAAGAGGCACACAAGACTCCCTGTCTCCAAGGCCACTGATGCTATTCTGGGCAATGTTAAGGGGGTGGAAGGAGTCCCCTGTGCTACATGGCACCAGTTTTGTATTGCCTGCTAGAGGACAGATCAGTTACACGTCCTGCTTTTCATTCTCTTTGCTTTTTTGATTCACTGCTTGTCCTGCCAGAGGATGACACAAGTCATAATCCTTCTCAGACCAGGGGCTCAAGGCTCTCTGGGTCTTGTTTCAGGTACCTCTTGCAGCTTCTTCTCTTGTAGCTACCAGCTGTTGCCACAGAGGTTGGTAGCAGTGTGTGGAGAATAAGGATGAGATGAGGAGCAGCAGCCCAAATGGGAGTGCCTTGAACTGTGAAGATACTGAGCTGGCTGCACTCAGCTGACTGCCCCAGGAAAACTTGGGCTCAGTAAGACTGACAACTTATGTACACCATCTTTGCTTTAGTTCCTTCTACCTTGCTATCACACATATGTTTTAGGAGAGTCTTTTGTGCGGGAAAACAACAGGTCTGAATCCAGAAGTGTGAAGATCTGCAGTATAAAGAAGAATATAAAAGTCATTGAGCACCAGTGATATCCCAGGAGCTACTGCATGCATTCAATCAAAACCAAAGCTGAAATGCTGAATATCGAGTACAGTGAGTTCTTAAGTCACCTGCAGATGAAACCTACAGATAGTCTCCTAATTTTGAACAATGATTATGTGCAGGCAAGTTGTAAAGGCCACAGTAATACCCACACATATAATTAACGTCTTTGAAAACAGATTGTCCCTTGTAGCCAAGAATCTTGAAGAGTAAACTATCTAAAATGAATAAGGCTGGAAAAGTCATCTTTCTAACTGAGATAGGGACAAAAAAGGTATAATTTTTAATACATTTGCCACTGGTGAAGACTTTCTCAATGTTATCTACTTACCGAGATCTGCAAGTATAGTCAAGCCCGTGAGGTATGCAGAAAGCTGGTTTGTCAGGAAGTACTGGCTATTCTACATTATTCTCAATTGCTAAATCATATTTGAAAATACATTTCATGTTGATTTCACATTGCTTTTAACATGCATGTGGAGGTGAGAATCCCTTTCTAAAAGCATAATATTTAATTTACCCTTTTTTTTTTTTTTCACAATAAGTTTGCTGGTGTATGAACATACCAGGATAAAACCGTTTTGTATGTTAGGCCCAGGAGAAGAAGAAGGGTGTTATGCCATTATATTATGAGAAATGCTAAGAAGAGCTTATACTCTTATACCAATGTAAGTCTATGGGCCCAGCTGGATTCCACAACAGGGTGTTAAGAGAAGTGTCCGACATTGTTGCAGGACCACTATCTATAATATTTGAAAAGTCATGGAGTTCAGGGGATCAGGACCCTGATGACTGGAAGAGACAAATGTCTTACCCATCTACAAGAAGGGCCCAAACAAGGTCCCAGGAAACTACAGACCCATTAGTCTTACTTCAGTCCCCAGGAAAGTAGTGGAACGAGTCCTCCTAGAAACTATTACAAACCAAATGAAGAAGGTGATTGGGAAAAGCTAGCACAGATTTACCAAAGGTGAATCATGCCTGATCACCTTCTAGAACAAAATAGCATTTTCCTGTCAGCATTGGGAAAGCAGTGGATGTTGTTTACCTGGACTTTAGCAAAGCATTTGGCAGTGTTTCCCACAGCCTCCTCCTCGACAGACTGGCAAGATACAAAATGGATGAGTGGTCTGTGAGATGGCTGGGAAATTGGCTCACAGGCCTCACTCAGAGGGTGATGATCCATGGGTTTTGCAGAAAAGACTGAAGGAGTTAGATCTTTTCTCCCTGGAGAAGAGAAGGCTCAGGGGGTACTTTACCACAGTATTCCAGCACTTACCAGTCAGCTACAGAGGACAGAGGTCCTCTCTTCACATGGAGCCACATGGAAAAGACAAGAGACAATGGGTATCAGTTGCACAAGCAGAGGTTTCATCTCAATAGAAGACAGACATTTTTATGAGACATTATGAGAATAATCAATGACAGGAACAACCTTCCCAGGGACATGATAGACTCCCCATCACCAGAGGTTTTCAAGATGCAGTTGGACAGGGTACTAGATAATCTCATCTAGGCTCCCTTTCCCACAAAATATTGGACCAAATGGTCTTCTGAGGCCCCTTCCAACTTGGACTGTTCTATGATTCTATGATACTGGAAGTGATTTATGTCGCAGGCTGTGTAGGTACTTTCTCCACAAACATTTGACCCAGTGTGCAGTCAAATGGTGATCTTCTCACTCTTCCTTCCAACTTGCTTTTTCTGTGCAGTCAGTAATTGTGTTATTACTGGACCTGAAAGCACAACAATAAAAGATTTGATGTGAATACTTGTGATAATTGTGTTGCAAATGTTTGCCAGTTAATTTGAATAAAGCAGTAGTATTGATGATTTAGGCATGATGAGGATATAAGCAATATAAGGTTGGTATGGAGAAAGAGTATTTTAGCAGTCTAACAGATATCATGAGGGAAAATGTTAAGTTGTTGGCCATGGAAGCCCTTTCTCAGATCTGAATATGATTTAAGTCATAGGATATAAACATTGATTAAAAAAAATAATATCATTAGTCATAGTATCATAGAATGGTTTGAGTTGGAAAGGACCTTAAAGATCATCGAGTTCCAACCCCCCTGCCATGGGCAGGGACACCTCCCACTACACCAGGTTGCTCAAAGTCCCATCCAGCCTGGGCTTGAACACTTCCAGGGATGGGGCATCCACGAGCTCCCTGGGCAACCTGTTCCAGTGTCTCACCACCCTCACAGTAAATGATTTCTTTCTAGTA